ACATATATATATATATATATATACGTAACAATTTACATATTGTTTTTGGGTTAATAATTTATTCTTAGAATGATTTTATATTTGAAGATTATTGTAGTTTGGGACAATTCTATTTAGGAATATTGTCTAGTTATTCGGATTGTATTATAACTTTCTGAGAAATTTATTTAAGTTCTGAATTTTAAGATTTCGATTTCTCGGAACAATACATGTCCATTACAAGAAGGAAGCTGAATTGAAGGATAAAGGACGTTAATGGAAGAGTAGAAGCCCATGCGGAACACTTTTATCTATAAACTTTAATTTTTAACTTTGCATCAATATAAATTCTATTATGTAATTGATGCTGACAATTACAAAAGTTAAATAAGATTTGTAATTATATATAGTTAATATATAGTTAATTATAGGCTTGTAGAGATGTTTACACTGCAAATGCGCATATATTTCTGAAGTATTTCAGCAGATCGAATTATTTAACGAAATAAATTTATTTCTTTTTCAAAATTTCTACCAAACGTTTCATTGTATACTTGTGTTGACAATTAATTTTCGTTCTCGACGTAATTTTAAATTATAAAATCAAGTAAAAAAATTTTTTGAAGCGTTAGTCATTAAGAAAATTGTGTTTTGAATCATATTGTGCCTGCAGTCTTTCGTCGTTTTTCGACTAAATCGTCAGTTAAATGAATCGGATGTATTCTCGATGAACATCAATATAATCAATATTGGACCAATGTATCGCCAATAAATTGTGCTACTAGGACGACGAAAGGAATAATAATAAAATGCATCAGAAATATTTTACTCGTAGCACATATATTTGATCACTGCTAAACCATTATCATTATTGCATATTATTTTATTGTTACTTTTACATTTACTTTACACTTTAAATTAATATTAAGACTTTGATGCTAAACTCAGTTATCGCGGAATGGCTTGCAATTAATTTTATCTCGGAACACAAAGGATATCGTATGAAAGGCAGTTTCAACATGGCACATCTGTTATCGTAATTTCACGGACAATGTATTGACCTCGCGAAGTCGTGCGGACGATTCGTTCGTGCAGCGACAAGTGTACTGTTTATTCAGTTTCGGCAAATATACCGTCGACTAATTCGACCGCAAGGCGCGAAAGTCCTTGATGACTCGCCTTTAAACCCACCAACGCGTTCTCGACATCAATCAGTTTGACAACTTCTTCCCGCCGAGAAGTCGCCGAACGTCGCCGTTGCGTTTGATAAGTTCGCGAAGTGACGTTCCTTCTCTGTCGCGCGTGCGCGCAATTTCGCGCTTGTAAAATTCGCCGAATGTGCAATCGTCTCTCGTTTATGCTACTTGTATCATAGCTCACAGTGTCTGAGTTGTGTCTTATCTAATCAAACCCACTCGACTTCTGAATCGGTGCGTCTTTATCCGGTCAGTCCAATTTTTGACCCAAGCCGGCGTGGATCTCCGTGCATCAAACGCAAGATTTCGCGCTCGCACCTACATCTCCGTTCGATATGGACGAAAATTTCGTCGATACAATGGGGGAGAATGAACAGCTGCCGGATGCAGTGCGGGAGAAATTGTCGAAAATATTGGAGAAATATGAACATCTGACCGACGAGGAGAAAGAGGAGTTCCATAAGGGTGCTTTTGACGTTCTGACGAAGTCCATTCACAAGATCACAGACAACACGATTTTGCCCACGTGGCTCGTTCCATATCAGTCTCTCATCCTATTTATTTTCGCCGTATCGATCGTGACCCTCCTACTAGGTACTGCTACGACGTTTATTGCCTTATCGGATTTTATAAGCAATAATGATGCGTCTCTCAATAAAGTGATAAATCTGTTAGCAATAATTTGATAATAACACATCGGTCAAATAATTTCGTGGTTACCAGATGTTTTCAAATCATTGTCACGTCTCGCCTCCATCGCGGACATCCGCAATCGAGAATTTCATTTAACGGTATTTTCCTTTTTTTTTGCGAAGATTTAATTACAATTGTGTTGTTTTTCAGTTTTTGTCGCCCGCAAATTGTATAAGGGCACGAAGGAACGAGAGAGCCGCAAAGAGGCGAAGAGACGGCTCAAGGAACAACAGAAAGCGAAGAAGAAGAGGAACTAACGTATCGGGAAACGTTTGTACATTTTAATGGAGAAAGAGAAACCTGTTAATGAAAAATAACAGATTTTTATAATAAATTTGAATATAATGTTCATTGTCGTGTTCATAAATAAATTTTTATACACTTAGAGCTAGCAGAAAAGTTAAAATACTCCATATTTCTTGTGACCCTTCCACTTTTTTCTTGAATATATAACGTGCTGATGAATAAAGGCTATCCCGTCTATTTTCGATGAACTAAACGTAATTGAGGGATGACGACTCCTGTGAATAAATTGCACATGATGCAGGAAATAATAAGGACTGGGCATCAAGAAGTATTTATTGTGCCATTTCATCTCGACGGAAACTCTCGTACGAGGTGTACAACAATTAACATACCGAGCATAAGCTCTCAAAGCATCAACGTATTCTGCAATCTTTAAATTATAACAGAAAAAATAGACTGTATTTTATCAAATAACATACTTAGTTTACATTTATTTGCATCGAGGTACCGGTATGCATGTACGACGTGAACTTTGCGAGTTCGTCACTTAGTCGATATCGCACGATAAAATCGCAGTGAGCATTTCCAATACGCCGCAAACGCGTAAATCTTCGTAACAATACAAAAATTATTATGCTCGTTAGCTAATTGATTATTATCCGTGATACTTTTCGTCATCTAAATTGCATTAGTAACTCTATATCCCTTACAACGAAACAACCATCCTCCTCTACAATTTCTTAATGCACTAATTAACAGACGATAACATGCGTAATAAGTTGCATTGGCACCTTTGTATAGAGTAATTACGAAATAATAATAATAAAAAAAGATTTAAGTCTCGCAAAATGTCTAAGGTCGCGGGATCTCAAACGTATTAGTATAAAAAATCTACTTGCTACTCCTCCCTTATCGTAGTACTCGCGCTACAAAGTGATAAAGTATTTCTTTCTCGCGGAATTTAACTATATCTGTTTTCTTGCTCAAACACTTACCCCGTAAATATGGTCTATTGGCACGTGATTAATTAATTAAGGTACTCGTTTCAAGTTCCCTTCTCTTACGAAATTGCTTAAGGTTTCCTTTTCTTGCGGAATTCTTTATATTATAAAACTTAGCGCGTCGTTGTTAATTCCTCGCGATAACAACGACGTCGTTTCGTCTTACTCACGATAAATCATAAACATGTTGAAGGCTTACAGAAGCAAAAGAGTCACGTTTAATGCGGACGAGAATTATGAAATCAACGAGTAATCGTGACAGCTACTATATACACAATTAAAGTTCTACACTTCTTACTTTTAATGTGGCACGTATGTCGAAAACGGCAGACGTTTTCGTAAATTGTACTAAATGAGCAACACATAATCGTATTCGGTATTTACATAATCTCTTTATCCCGTCGTTTGCTCGCGAATTCCGCTCTTAACTCGTAGTATGTATCACCGTATAAAACACCTTATCAAAATTTGACTTGTCGATTTAACTCTAATTTTCTAACTCAATCGTGTGCGACCTATAAATCACAATAGAAATTTCGCGAGTGCTCAACATCTTCGCATTCGTCCGAAGAATCCGCTTCTAAATGCTGCGGACCGAAAATGTCCATAATCTCATAATATTTGGCCACTACGATTGTGCGATTACACAAGCTTCCCTTCATTTATGCGTATATTCTTCTCGCAAATTGCTGAACCGATATGTTTCACACGCGTATGATTATGACGCAATAGCGTATAGTTAGATACATCTACAAAATCGCAAAAAATATAGACATCTTCGTGAATTTTTCCCGTCGAATGCACCGCGGAGTCAAAAATATCGAGTAGTCGCGCGTTGCTGTGCGCGCAATATACAATAACGCAGTAACAATAATCTTACATTATTAAAACATAAAAAACAACATGCCTGTACCTAAAAGAAAAGAAAAGGATATCGGGGCGAACCTCCCTCCTCCTGGGTATGAGTGATTATGCTTCAATTATGTTACAATTATGGCGTGACATCCGAAACACGAGACGACGATCCTTAATACCGTTTCAATTTGGTACACTTACAGATTCAGTAACGTTTTGCTATAAATACGCTAACGAATCGTTAACCACGCTCACATTCTAATTGTTCGATCAATCGCGATCTCTCCTGTAAATGTTTACAATTGCACGCGATGACGATCATCTCCGTCGTACGTCGGATACGGAGATGGCATCTCCGTGCTTTACGCAATTCAGCTGTCATCCTACACGCAACGTTCTCTTGCACATTAATCAAGAAGCTTTTTATACACACAAAAAGACTAATCGTTCAAATCGTCTTCGACTTGATCAGCAATTTGTAGCGCTCGCTGGCGGGATCTGAAAGAATCACACGCGTACACACACGCTGACGTTAACATTTCAGAATAACCGGGTTTTTCGATGAAATCGCGAACGGCAAGGTACGCATTTACCTTTGATTGTCTCGACGAGGTACATGCTTTCGTCCTTCATGTTAGCTACCAGCTCATCGGTGACCAACACGTGTATACCCTGCGGACCCAAGAACAGTATCGAGTGCAGTCGGTCAGGTGGCAGGCTGAGAGTGCTGAGTAACTTGCTTGTGAGAGCGGTGCTCGTCAGGTTGTCCAAGTAAGCGACTCGCCAGAGAGAGCCGTTGCCTTCCAGCGAGAAGTAGAGGGTGAGCTTCGGTGTCGGCGCCTTGGAATGCAGCGTGTTGAACAGCCGGATGCCGTCCGCCACTCCGCAAATCTGGATGAGATCTTCGCGAGATAAGCGCAGGATATCCGAGGCGGAGAAGCTCGCGAAGGTCGACTCGAACGCGTTGAAGCGACTCGCGCGTAGCCACGCGGTTGTCTGCGTGGCGTTCGCATCCGGTGGCAACTCGCTGAGGCACGGAGTGCTCTGTGGTAGATTTCAAATCGAATAAGGTTAGATATTGGAATTTCGTATAATTTCTCGGGGAAAGAGCGACTCTTCGTTTCTTTCCGTCTCTCTTTTATCCTAGCGTGACGTTAACAAAAGCTCCACAATTGGATAAAATGGAATCGATGATGAAATCGTCGCTGCTTTAACGGGATTCTTTATTGCCTTCTCCATCGATTTCTTTTTCTAGTTGTTACATGCGACGTAGGCGATTGAAGAATTGAAGGAGCGCGCGATCGGTTGATTAATATCTTAAGAAGTTTTTACCGCTTTGATGGACTCGAGCAGCTGCTGCGGAGAAGTAGCTTTACGTGTGGCTAAACCGACATCGGCCTCAATGCAAGGCTGCTCCGGCAAAATGGCAGCGGGCGATGGCAAGGCCGGAGCCGTGCTTGCGTTTTCTTTCACGGCGTCCGAAGCGGGGACCAATGATACCATACCGCCGATGGTTGTGCGTGTTTGCGGCGATCTGAAGCAAAGAAATCCCATTGCAGGTTAGCCACACCTGACATCGCGCTTTTCTTGGAGAATTCGAAAGGCAAGTTCATCGATTGAAGGATTCAGCGATGTAACACGCACACACACACACACACACAAAATTCTTTTTACATTAAATACAAAATCTATGCATGTTAAAGCCAAATCACATTAGCGATTGCCGATTGAATTGCGATTACGATTAGGGATTTGCGATTACTTTTCAATTAATCGAAGTAAAGCAATCCGGTGGCTGTTTTGCTTTGATCGATTGAAAGGTATTCGCTAATCGTCAATCGCAAGTGTGATTTGGCCTTTATTCCTCGCGACAAGTTTTGTCGCTATCTTCGTCGTATGGAAATTGATCCGAGACATAAAAAACACGGACTTCGGTCTGCGTGTACGTTCGTTTACTTTACGACGCGTTGCAAAAGGCGAGCCATAGGAATCTCTTCGTGTCGTTACCATCGTAATCGGCGCGCATAAATTGCCGATTAGTGACAGTTGCACGCAGAAAGACTGACGGATTCCGCGCGGGGACGGGGTCACGGGTTGTTCACCAGGCATGTGAATCCCGATAAAAATCGCTGGAATGACTTCCAAGCCGAAATAATTCTGCATACGATCATAAATTCATATTGCAAATGGAAAGTCACGGCGCCGCGCAGAGCTGACACATCGAATGTCTGGCGGGACGGGCTGTGGTGAGGCCGGACGACGATTATACGTGCTGAACTATCGTAAATGCGCGCACTGACCGAGCTTCAAAACAAGGACGAGCGATGTGGTTTACGTCATGTGGGAAGCGAGAAAATTCGCTTCGCAGTCGAGCTCTTATCTTCGGGCACATTCGGACGTTACAAGTAATCGGTATCATCGCGCAGGACCTTGACGATACGTGTCTGATAAACCCTGTATCTCTCGCGAGTCTCCCGGTTTTTCCGAGGCCCGTCACGTGCGAAAAAGCTGCACGAGCGCAACGTTAACGTTACCGATAGGAGTGACAATTCACGACTAAGGAACAACTTGAGGAATAATCCCGAGAGGCCACCTATTCTGAGAACTACGCACCGTCTAAAGTCGGATTCGATTAATATCTCATACCTCGTGCGCGTTTCTAATAGATTTCTTCATGATGTAATTCCACTTATGCATAATGAGACTGACTGAGAATGAAGTACCTCGAATCTCGATTTTTCTAATCACGAAGAAGTTGTTAATATCTGCTTACACGGGATTTCTCTTCAAGCGAACCACGAGCTTAGCTCTCCCGCAGCTGTCGATTCTCTTCACATCCTGACGTTTCCTTATCGTAAGACTGACCAGTCCTCCCCGCATAACGTGGCCCCTCCTTATTCGTGGGTCCGATAAAGCATGAAGGAACCTGGCCACGATCTCCACGGCCCGGCCACCGCTCACGACGACCTCGTGCTCCAGGAGGCACGCGACAAACTCGTCGAGCGGATAACGCGGCCGCCTGAGAGACCAGCGGCTCTTCAGGTCCCAATAATCCCGCGGCATTTCGAACGACACTTCACTGGCGGCGGTTAATCCGAGAGGCTCGCCCTTATTCTTTCTCCTTGAAGAAGGCTTTCTTCCGACTCTTGACGCGTTCGTACATAAACGTGGAACACTTGTGGTACGCTCGAACGTCCGGCCGATCTTGCAGCACCTGTCCATCCATTCGTGCTCGATGTGGTCGCGACGTCGTTCCCGAATCCGTCCTCGTCGAGCAGTGTCGATCAACGTCGATCAGCCGCTGCGACGACTCGAGGTCTTCATCGCGCGCACGATGTTGGAGAAGAGCGAATCGACGCGTCCCCCCGGCTGTCCTCGTGCGCGATGTCACGCGGCTCACCCAGTGACTGAACGAATCGCCCGGTGGACACGAGTAACGAGCGCAGCTCTGGCTCGCTCGGTGGCAGATAGGATCAGTTCGAGTCAGTGGGATTGCATTTGACTGCTGTGAACCGGATACTGCTAGTCGTTCGTGACGATGTCCGTCCGCCTGCTCTCTCTCTCTCTCTCTCTTTCTCTCTGTCTATATATCTGCTTCAAAATTCGACCTTCGTCTGACGATAGAGTCACTACTCACGGCCGGTGACCACTCAAGTCGAAGTCGTCGAAGAGTCGCGTGATCGGCGCGCCGTACCTCCTCGAGAACTAACGTCACGTGCGGAGAAGCTTACTCAAGCAAACACTCGTTCGATTATCACTCGTGATCCAGCCCCGTGACCCGACCGAAGAGAAGTGGAATTTCACTCTGCGCTTCCGGGAAATTCCGCGGATATTTTCGGCCGAGCGCGTGCGACCGGTTTTCACTTCCTCTCGGCGTGCCTCCGCGAAGGAGTGTGAACTTGGCGACTTCGCGAGAACCGCCCGAGTCCACCAATGTTTATCTCCTTGAGCGTCCGAACGGACACGTGTACCTTCACCTTGCGCCGAGTCTGATTACGATGCCATATGCGCGTGCCAGGACGCGCGATTTCCTATCGCCTTGTAAAACACCTCAATGCGCGAAATGTATTCACCGTACCTCCGCTTCCAAGAAATTTTCCGTTCTTCGAAGTTATAAATCTCTTCTTACTATTTTTACATGCCGAGAGATAAACAGTCAGAGAGAGAGAGAGAGAGAGAGAGAGAGAGAGAAAGACGAATGTTTCGATCTCGGTGGCGACAGCAATTTATTCATCCGAGACTCGCACGTTCGGTCTCGTCGCACGATGGCACTCGACGGACGACGAGCGATTATCACAACTGCTCCGTAATTTTCCTCCTAGTATTCTCCCCGAGAAGCTAATTAGATAACGCATCGATCGATTTGTCACGCTCCTTCTTGATCTCTTTTGATCCGGCAAACTTTAGTCGACCTCGGAACTTCCCCGACTTATTTTACCTTTCCCGGACCTCTTCTGCCCTCCAAAGAGAGCACTTGACTTCCGCTCGATGCTGACCACGATTCCACGTTGTCGAGGTCGGCAAGATCAGACCATGTCCCGGTTACAAGACTGAATTTAACCGCCCCGGCGTCAGCTTGTTGGCGGCGGGGCTGCTCGTCATCTGACGAGGTGATCCTGTCGCGAAAGGAGCACGTGGCTGGCCAGGATCTCGCGTGACACCGCGACGGAAAGGCCGTCTATCGACGCGAGCAACGGTGCGTGCGAGACTCGCGTACACTCTGCCGGAAGTCGACTGGTTGCGACCGACGAGGGCATTCCTGGACGGTGCTTGCTTCTTGGTGTGCGGACTCGCCGATCTCGCTTTCTGCGCTTCAAGGTGGAGGATCGCAGGAGGAGGATCGCTTCGCGTTCACGGGTGCATCACACGCGGTGCTGATTAGGCGCGACCTCGAGCTGTCATGAGCTATCTGTTACAATGTGATCTCGCCCTTGAGATCCGCAGTAACCTCGTTTTATTGCATGACTAATGGCTAATTGATCGCATCAAGTTCAATCGCGAGGAGAAAACCACGACTGGAAGTTGCTATTTGTCCGGAAAACAGCGCGACATTCAGATCGTCAGGCGATCACGACCTTTCGGAGCGGGATGCATCAACCGCACGCGGACCGGAGCCGTTTCTACTGAAGTTCCGGCGAAGTTGATGCTTATATATATATATATATATATATATATATATTTCTCGTCGAGCGTTGCGTTATTTAACTCCGGTAAGCCCGAGCAACTCGCTGACTGCTCGTCGACAAACTCACCGGTGCTCGCTCGTCGCGCACTAGAATACACCGGATCAAGTTTAATTCGGTTATCTCGAACCGTGCGATAACTTCAGGACACTCTCTTTTTTCCTCCTACCTTGCGCTTCCTCCTTCTTGTGTAAATAAAGCGAGCTTCGGAGCTTTTTAAGCTTCTGCGTCGCAACGAAATTGATTCAAAAGCTTCAACGCTCAAAGCGCTTCGAGGGCTATCAACTCTCCGAACAGATTCTCCGCGGCAGGTGCACCAATTTCAGCTACATATAAAAAGCAAAAAGATCTCCCGATGCTCCGAAACAAGCTGCGAGACCAGTTCTGCTTGTCTCCTTCCCTCGGTTAATTACCAGACGCTGTCTCGGAGATGAATTTTTCATAGACAGGAGGAACGACGCCGAGGAGAAGCTTCGCTCGATCCCGTCTCGCACGAGAAGCGGTTCGAAAGGGAGTTCGCTGCGCTCCGGTTTGCGAGGTTTCGATGCAGGGACGACCGCGAAGGCTCAGACGCCTCGTCGAGCGATGTCTGGCGGAGTCGTTTCAGGATAGCGCGCGTTGAACGGAATCATCGATCACCGATCGTAAGCGAGAATTTCATTCGCGCACTCTTTGCAGCGACATTCGGGCAAGCAACGACGAAGAGTGCCGGGCACCGATTTATTCGCTCTCACGAGTCTACGTCGCACGTGCTCGACGATGGATCGCGTCGGCGACGATCGTCGATCCCGGACCGTACGGGATGTTCGCGGTTATTGGCTCGATCGAGCGCTAAGGAACGGACAGCAACGACCGCCGTGGTGCGACCTGAATTTGCCTGAATGGATTCCACGGGGTCTACGAGACTTGCAAGAGCAACGCGGCGACGCGCGGTGTAAGGCGTTCTGAATTTATCCGCATGCTCCGTATCGTTCTCTTGGCATACCTCTCTCGTTTTCTCTCTCTCTCTCTCTCTTTTTCTCTCGCTCTCTCTCTCTCTCTCTCTCTCCCCGATGTTCTCCAACTTCCCCTCCATCGAGACGTCGCCGTCGGCTGAGCGACCGGGATGCTGGCTTGCGCCAGTTCGAGCCAGTTTGTCGGCGGCGATGCTCGTGGTCTACCTTCGTCCCCCACTTGCTGTCCTCCACCACTAGCGAACAATCTCCTCTACCACGCCGCCACCACCATCAAAGCGAACTCCCACCAGCTGCGAATCGGGTATCCGGCAACGTCGCACTGGTTCGGGCGGAGGGATCATGATGCTCTTCGCTTTTCTTTTTTTTTAAAGGCTTTATTTTGGGAGAATTTCGATGAGGCGAAAGGATTTAAGCGAATTCCTTAACACACACACATACACACACACACACACTCTCTTTCTCTCGCCTATTTTTCAAGAGGGATACGACGCAACTCCGTTTCCTCGTGTCTTCGCCGTCTTAAACAATATTTTCCCTTCATCCGAACGAGAAGGAGGTGGAAAAAGAGTGAAAAAAGCAAGAGGGAAAATTTTTCATTGTCGTGCTGCGTTCTTTTTAGTCATTCTCGCCCGCCGCCTTTGCTCCTCGCGACGAGGATAACGGTGGCAGCGGAGAAAAAGGGAAGAAAACTGCAAGACAGATATGTCTTCCTTAATCAGTGTTTCTCTCCGGCTGGTCTTTTCCATCCCAGATTTCATCAGACCAGCTTCTCTCAATAGGCAAAACGAGCAATACGCTTGCGACGTGATCTCGCTTTTGTAAACTCTTGTCGACTGGGCGGAGAGAGGGAGGAGAGTCGCGAATCCACGATTTCTTTCTTCGACCGCTAGAGAAGAGTGTTTTTCCATTTTCGCGAAAAATGCTCTTCTTCCTTCCACGTGTGCGCAATTCCGCGAAGGTCGCGAAGGTGATCGCTCGGCGTGAAGCGCGCGCGCGCGCATGAATATAAATAGCCCGCGAAAGTAAAAACATCTATCGCAGAACACTGGCGCGGGCCAGGTGGTATCGGAAATGTTTCGCTATTTATATCCACAGAACAGGTATCCTCGATCGTTCGCCACGCGAGTGACGTAACCTTTCGCCCAACTGCGCGCCGTTTCGGAGCGCGAGTGAGCGGAAATCGAGCGAGCGAGCGAGGTGGAGGATCGCCGCTCTCCGTCTCTCTCGGCGTCTCGAATTCGACTCGAGCCACGATGGCGGCGGGAATTTCGTTCTGGCAGCTCACGAACGAAAAAAAAGTCAATGACTCGCGGCGCGTAATCGCGCACTGATACGCTCTGTTACGCGCGCGCGGTTGCAGCGGTGTTTGTTCCGCGCTATTTTCGGAGGAAGAAGCGAACACGTAGCTCGCGGACGCGGATCGTTTGACAGACCGGATGATTAATTACACAGTTAGGCGGGCGCCCGAAACCCGTCGTATCCAGAATCGGCTAGTTGCTGTTTGCATAGTAAAGCACGAGTCACTCGTCCCGGCTCGGCTCCGGCGATCTCAAGTACATGCGTTTCTTTAATGATGCTCGCTCTCTCATGCAAACGTCATCGGAGACGACGAACTAAGCGAAAAAAAGCAATCATGCGAGCACCTCTCCAAAAAGTAATAGAACGCGTCACTCATGACACTCTGTAATCTTCCGCCAACACACTTTCGCGCCGATCGGCGAATCTCGACAACTTCGGCGCCGTAAAGAGCCCTCGTGGCGTTTAACTTGAATCTCTTTGCAAATACCGTTGTATCGTGCGGAAATCTGCCGGGAGCTCGTTCAGAGGACGGAAGAACTTAAACTTAGAAATCGAGAGCGGTTCCCGGGGATAAAACTGTCAGCGATGCGAAGACTCCTGTTCCTCCCGACATACCGAGCGGTTGTGCCGCGGACCCTTTCGGGCCAGGTGTTGTCCTGGTACCGGCGTTTTACGTGGTATTAATAACCACGTGAGGGAAACGTGAGACACAAAGAAGACGTGATCCAACGCTGACAGAGTGGCGCCCCGTTAATTACGGTGCGTTCATCAGCGAGCGAAGAGGGCGCAGCACAAAGCGTAATTATCCGCATGCCTATACGTTTACCTTGATACCTATATTTAACTCGAACCGAGCCCCGAGTATTCTATTAGCTTTACGTACGCGTACACGACAGGTTTTTACTCGACTGGCGGCGTAATCCGTTTTGTTGTACATTAATCGAGGACACACTCGACGTACGCATGATGGAACAACAACTCCGTTTTTGTTCTTACGCGAAGCGACGCGAAGAGTATCCGTTCAATCGTGGCAGTTGCGCAAAATCGAGCACACGATGCGAAGTGGCAAGTCTTGTTACGTATTACAGAAGATGTTATTTCGATCGCACGCCGTTCGCCCCGACATACCGAGTGATTTATATGTAACGTGTTGTGTGTATCCTCAAGGTTTCCTCAAGTCGCGCGACTTGGCCTCTTCGTCGTCAATTTTTCGCACGACGCAATGTACGCTATCGATTAATCTTCCGGCTTATCTCATTTCTTAACGCGCGAAACGCAATGACGATTGAAACGCCTACGAGTGTAAACAACGTGTATGCGATAAAGCGTCAGCGAGAAAATAATAATCGTAATGATCGTTGTTTACTTACATCGCAACATCCGTTGGAGCGTACGGGCTTCCTCCGTTTTGGGCCGTCAAACCCGACGTGGACAAGGACTCCAAGGAGATCTGCGCGACAGAAACGAAGGGAGACTAATTGAAAACGCTTCCGTCGAGACGTGTCGAATATTTTCGCGGCGGAGCACGAGCCTCCTTCGGAAACTCACGTCGGAAAGGACGGTGCAGTCGTAGCTGGGCTGATATTTGTCTTGCTCGTGAGGCGGACGTCTCAGTATCTTATCCCGGTCCTGCTTGTGCTTGCGGTCCGCTCCCTTCAATTTGAAAACTTTCACTTGACACGAGGCCGCGTGTAAGCGTGGCCCTCCCGGCAGCCGGGTCTCCACTTGAATCCGAAAGGGCACGCCTTTCTCGCCACCGTGCTTCTTCGGCGTGAACTCGGTGCTTATGCAATTCACCTATTCGGAGGACAATACGGGCGGCTCTGCAGTAATCGTGAATCGCGCACGATCGAATCGCTGCTAGGTGTATTCGCGTGAAAGATCGCGCGTGTGTAGGATTTTAAGGGGATCTGGTCTTCTCAGAGAGTTTCCTTACGATTGCTTTCGATTATGACATTGTAACGTGCGTAAAGAGAAAGAAAATTCATCATCAGGAGTCAATAAGAGAAATCTAGAGCGTACTTTGATGTAAACGCCGACTTCTTTAGTGGGGTCCCACATAAATTCCACGCTGTTGTTGGACGGTGATGGTTGGCAGACGTCTACCATCCCATAGCTAAGGGGAACGTCGACCTCCAGCAATCTCTCTCCCGGTCTAGCGCGTTGCCAGGCCAGCATCTGTTCCCGTTCTGTGTATTGTAGCCGCCGCTCGTGGAAGCAAATACGTATTGTCGACTGGAACAGAAAGCCCGGATGTCCCTACAGAGGCGTTGTAGTACCGTTTGGGCGACTCACATCTTTCGAACGTCGAGGACACCCGTGAGCTCACGCCGATCGCGTTAATTCGTGTTAATAATTGCGAATATAATTCCCGTCCCATCTCCAAGCCAACAAACTGCCACAGGGGAATTTGAATATCGTTTCAGTGGTTATTAGAGGAATCAGCATGGGTATCCGCAGCTGAATGCAATATTTACCGTGTTATATGCTTCAGCGCAAATAACTGTTATATCAGCATTGTTGTATCAGCACAAATCACGTGATATAACTTCCGGACGATATTATCTTGAATATTTTTAATTGCAATTGAATTAGATAAAAATGAATAAAATTAGGAGTAGACGAATTACCTAGTTGAGACCGGCGTGAACTCGCTCGCTCACTTCGTGAGGAACTACCAAAGCGTTTTTTAAGATGCCGCTACCCAAACATTAGAAGCATCCAAACGAGCGATCGTTTGTATTTATAGGGGTGACGAAATACCTTCAAGATCTTGCCACGGTAGGCGGACAGATCACCCAACTTCTTCAGTTTGATTTCATACGATTGTCCCTGGTTCAAATACGTCAGCGTTTCCTCGTTAACTTTGGTGGCGATACTGGTAGCGGCAGCTAGGACGTACTGAAAGCTAAGGATAGGAAAACTTCGCGATATAGTTGATTATATTAAATACCGACAACATGGTACGCAAAAATCAATCTCTCGACTAACAAGGGAAGATCCGGAAGAGTCCGTCACCGATTTCAACGAACCTTCGAGAAGCTGAAACAACCACTCGAAGCTAAAATTTCATATATTTGACAGTGGGCGAATCTTTGAAACCGTGAGACATACGAGAAATTTTTGTAAGTAAAATTTCTCAATGCACGTTATAATTTTGTAATTAGATTGTCCAAAAATATTGTATTTTTCAACATCCAAATCTCTTATCATCACGTTCACGAATTTCGAAATTTTTGTAAGGTCAAAACTTAAAAGGAATTTCATGTCAAGTTCAGTTATGTATAAAAAATTATTTTCTGAAAACATATTTTTAGGATACGAGTTGCAAGCGCCACGTTAAATAAACGCGGACGCGCCACGTATGCGCGGTAAAGTACGCGGATAAGTAGGACAAACGTGGAACGTCTGCATCTACTTACAACAGGACCGACACAACACGCCTGCAACCACTGGCAACGTGCGCGTGGGAAAGCGTGAAGCGTCTGTATTTACTTACAGTGCGCAGGCAGGACCGACGCAACAGGCCTGAATCTACTTGCGGCGTTCGCGAGGGACAGACGTGAATATCCGCTTCTACTTACACGCGAGACAGACGTAGCCAGACCTTCCCTTATATGATCCCAGCAGAGTCCTCTCTTCGGAATCTTGCTGCTCCGGCGAACAAGTAAGAACGCGCAAGAGAAGATTTTTTGCATATCTTCATTTGCAAATCGTTTCTCCATTTGTATACGGAAAAATACAATTCCGTTAATGTAACTGAATTTTCCGTTATCTGGGGAAGCGCAATTGGGGAGCGAAATTTGATTGTAAGAACCGAAAGTTTCCCGTAGGAGGTTTCTATTCAGTTTTTGTTCTCAGTTGTCTTAACCGATTTTTTTTAATGCAGCTATATGTTCTCAGTCGCGGTAACCGAGATATTATTTCTCGCCGCCGAATTTTCATTTCCTGCCGGCGAATTTTCATCTAGTTCCTATTCCGTCGCAGGAACGGAGTTCTTATATGTAATTAATTTTGAGACTAATTAACATGTGTCTGATAGCGCACCGGCAATCCTCGTTCAATTCGTTTCCCTGCTGGGAAGAGGAAACGTGGTTGGCCGAGGACGAAGTCGGCGGGTACTCCTCATTGGAGGAGTACAGGAGTTGGTGAAGACTAGCGGCGGTCTGGCCGTTGTTGTTGCTGTCAGTCTCGACGGAGCCGACGTTTCCATTGTTCGGCGGCGCTGCGCTGCTAGTGATCGTCCTTTGCGACACGTGATTTAAACTGAAATAATTAATTAACAGAATGACGTAAAACGTGTAAAACACGCACTTGCCCGCCGGTTGGTCGCGCGGGATTCGTCGGCGCGACGGGAGCAAAAATGCAGAGCGCTCGTAACAGCTCGAATCACTCACTACAAATTAAAGAAGAGAGACGGCGAGACGTTGAGATCCGTGGGCGTTCTCATCCTGCTTGCCGGACTGCTTCTCTAGATCGGGCTAAAGAGTTCTCGCACGGAGTCCCGCACGGACGCTAAATTCCACCGCGGTTTGCCACCGCACGCGCGCGCGCGCGCGCGCGATCACGACTCGAGCGGCAGTTGTTCACGCGTCGCACCGATCCGTCGTTCTTCGGGAGGTCACCTTCCCCATCGTCGCGGCACGTCGCGGAAGCGCGAACAGCCGGAGTGGAAAGTCACACTCTGACGCGTGTTCACGCGAGTTATCTCATCGTCCGCACGATCGGCTCTACCGACGCGACGTGATTTTCCGGCCTGCCGTAGGGAGATGCACCTTTTACATAATCAACTCCCTCACTCGGAGAACAAGATCACGAGTCGACCTCTCGATTTCATCGTTCCACATTGATACGACGGATGCTGCGAGCGGGGCAACCTTGCATTCAGATAAGGAGTTCTCTAGCTCAGCACAATGATTTTCTCGAAACGAGCCGTCGAACGGGATCGTGCGAGTCGAATTTCCGCTCGATCGCGGAAAACGGCGCGAGAGAAAGTGAAATTGAGCGTGGAAATGCGGATACTGCCTTATCGCGCCCACTGTCACCGCAAGGCGCAAGATCGTCGAGAAATTCGACGAGTTATTTCAAAACCGGTGCTGCCCGGAGATGATTTTATCATTTCCGCACGTGACGGCACGCCGTAATTACGATCACACGAATGCGGAGGGCTTGCACGTGCCTCCTCCTCCTCTTCTTCGCTATTACCCGTCGCACGTTGGGTCTTTACGTCACGTGTCTTCGAGGCTCACATGTACACGCGTATACAGACGCGCACGTGCGCACAAACACCCATTGAGATATCAATTCGCGGCTCACGTTTTTTGATAGATCGCGTCGCGCGGTCGACCGCCGTTTCACGTCGCGCGCGCGGAGTAACTCGGGACTTGAGTAACTTGACGCGATGCACGATAAACGCGAGTAAGAGAGTAGAAATCTATGTCCCGCGAGGGAAGGGCTCGCTCTCTCGATAGACGCCTGGCGAGTGCGACGATAGCGGCCTTATCTGCGACCGTGCCTCTGCGGGGGAGCCGCGCGGCAAATTCCGCTCGGAATACTTTTTATCCCCGTCGCGCCCGAGCTGCGAGATAGCGCGTCGTCGTGGTCGTCGGTTCGTGCGCCGCTCTCGTAATCGTAGTAAATCCAGTTACTATCGACGACGTTACAGTTACCGCCATTCGGCCCGCGCGGTTTCGTCATCGTGAACGAGGAAACGACGTCGCGTATAAATGAATCAACTGTTAAATCTCCGAGGAGGAAAGGGAAGTGAAATTAAAGTACCAATACCCGGACATGCACCTAACCTGGACATTATTCAACATTTTGACGATTCAGGCTCTTTGATATACAATCGACGATTCAAGGACTGCTCTCCAAAATAGAATGTGACACTTGCGACTTGTTAAATGATTGTTTGAATTGAATCTGTTTTGAATGGCACTAAATGATCCGCACTCAGGCTTTTAATGGCCCTTTCCCATGAATTTTGACCGGACATTCTTATTGCTTTGGTTTTTAATTACAAATATCTAAACTTTCGACCATGAATATACATACATATATTTTACGTTGAAAGTTGAAATATTCATATTTAAAAACCAAAATAATTAAAATGTCCAGGTTAAATGTATTTCCGGACGTAGCTACTTTTACTTTTACCTTATATGTGCGTTCAAGTCGGATCGACGACACCGCGCTTTGGCCATATTTAATTACACGAAGTTAATTACCAGCTGGATGGGCTAAATTCCGCGTAACACCGGTTCGACCTGAGCAAAGCGGCTTCGATAATCTGTGCCGACTTACTTGGGATTGTTGGTTTGGTTCTCGGGCGACGGCGCTTCCTGCTTGAAGACTGTTAACGATGGCAAAGCGAGGAGGGCTTCGCTAGAAGGGAAGAGAAATTTTTGCTAAGAATCAGCAGCGTTTTTCCGACCCCACGCGCGTTTAAGACCATATTTAGTATCTTATTTTCCCTGTGATTGCATTTTCCCGATTTTCCCAATTTCTTCGAGGCGTAGGATATCACCGAGGCGCGCTTATGTGATTTTTTATTGAAGATTTCGCACTATAATTTTCAACCGGTTTCGTATTCCGTGTCCTCGTTTCGCCGACGACGCGATCCCTAGAGATAATTCGCGTTTCTTTTTTCCCTCGCCATTTATTGCCGAATAAATCAGTCGCACTGACGCAAAATGACAGCTGCGTGCGCGGTGCGTAAGGATCAGAAGTTAATGACGGCTTCAGTCACACGAAACACACTGAACGAAGACCCACACGTGATAACGAAACAATAATTTGAGAACCACTAACGATTATATGCGAGTCAGTGAGGTCAGCGCGAACCGGAATAAACTAGTTCACCGGTACAACGGATTTAATCGGTATGAAATAACATCGCGATATATCGCGTCAGAAATACCCGCTAAAATTTGTTTACGATCTCGCCGACGTCGACACAGACGAGCATAGAAACAGCTGACCATATCAGTTCTGTCCGTTAGTTGCAACGCGGACAAACAAATGTTTCTCTTTAAAACCCCCTCGTCCGTCTGATTCGTAATGCCACGAAGTTCTCTTCTTATTTTTAACCGGAGATAAAAACTTAATAAGTATCGTCTGATCCGCGTTAATAATAACACGGATCAGGCGATACTTTACTCACCCGTGTTTCACATACTGGTGCATTTCTCTACTTGTGACTAAATGATCTTTGATTTTGCAAATGAATCTTGAATTAATTGATCCGAATGATTTGCCTGAATTATATTTTTCTTTTTATTTTAACTCTGACTTATTCTAAAATGAGAGTCATTATATTTTCCAAGAGTCTTCGCGCTGTGTTACCGATGATATACGTCCACACGACGTTCTTAGGTATATCTATTTGGAACACTGCAAAAATACACACAACTCGCGCGCTTGAGTGCCGAACAATAGGACGGTCTGTTGGCAGGGAGTCGTCTAATGATTCGACCGGCGGTATGACGAATCTTGGAACGAGCGCAGGTAATTGAGGCTCAAAGTTCTTAGGAAGTTCACAGACAGCTGTCGACTTACGCTGCCAAGAATAAACCGGTTGTACACCCGCGAACTGGTGTGCGCCAGCCAGTTCCTTACCGGTTCGAACCACGCGAGACGTATTCATATGACACGTCTTTATTCATCAACGGATACGCGCCTCCCTCCACCTTCCTTTTTCTTTTTTTTCCGCACATCGCGGCCAATACACGAATGCCGGCCTGAACAGCTGATACGGACGATTCGTCGAGTTCGGCGGACCGATTGGGATCTGGTGTCTCCAACCGTTGGGAAATTTTTCCTCATTGCGACAGAGACGTTTAAGTTGTACAAATCTGCCTTGGAATTTTAATTGATCGCGAACTGCGCATTAAATGAGAAGTTTATGTGAAATGCATCTCGGGAAGTTGCATCTCGGTCTTTACACATACTTATTAAAAAAAGAAAAAAGAAAAGGAATGATTCGTACGAGAGGTCTGCGGCGCAGATATTAATGCAAAAATTACACACGCTTTCGTATCTACTAATTAAAAAATTATCTTTGCGCATGTGGCCTGAATATTGTCTGTATATTTAAAAATCTTGCTTGTAATTACTATCGCTCTAAAAGTTTTGTACCTAGTATTGCATTTGCCGCAGTATAAAATAATCGCTAGCAAAATTATTATTACATTATAAATATTGATATTTGTAATAATTTTTTTTTTACTGTCTCTTTTTGATTTCCTCAAATAACGATAAAGAGTGATTTAATATCCAAAATGTAAAAAGAAAGAGGAATTGACTCAAACTGGGTTTTTACTCAAATAATGTGCTTTTTAGGAACAAGATTCCACCTACAATTATTCATTGCTTCGTCGGACAACGCAATAAAGAAAAACGCACTGTGATAGCCGAGAGCCTCTTCAGATTAGACAACATCTCGTAGTGATGTCACTCGATAAGCTAATCATCAATCTCAAATAATCAAACTTGGGGAGGTTTCGATAACTTTGACTTGCAATATGACAACAGTCTTTGAAGGTATTTTAAAAGATTCAAATGATAACAGAAACCAAAATTGCTATGGTCATTCATTCTGCAGATTTTGACAAAATTATATGAAGATATTCCGACATGCTTGAAAATATTATACATTCGAAAGAGTATATAGTTCTGGCTTACAATTATTCGTTGTTGGACAAATTTGATTAGACTCAACATCACAATGAATTAATCACAATTTTAGACATTTTAGCTATTTCGGAACGTGAACTGTTTAAATTATTATAAGACACGAATATTTGATCATTTACTAATTGTTTGGATACTTTCAGCTGGACGTTCAGCATATATACGTAATGATTTAATTACAAATGAATGATATATGCCAATTATAGAACTGATATACTATAGGACAATTTTTACAAAGAGTTGTGAAATTTGACGAGATCCACTGAAACTTCTCGTTTACTCCTTCCCCATCAACGTTTGAGTTTCGCGAATAATTATGCACGTGCGCGCACATTACAGACCGGCACTCCCGTGATCGCCGGTCCGACCGGTTTTGATTTTATCGCGCGTGTCACCGGCAGGACGCAATGCCAAGAACTGCGGCCAGTTTGAACCAGATTTCTAGATCAGCTTGTTGGCACGGTCTGTGCAGATAGGTTTTGATCTCGTTTAGCAGCAGCGACCTTCTGTACCGACCATTCGCTCGAATAACTACAACGGCAGCTATCGACGGAGAACTCCCGATTGTGTCATCGAGAGTAGCGAGTAGCCGCGAAACCGATCCCGAAAATAATATTTTACCCGCGGACTTTCACGAGGTATCTTTACGAGTAGCCGTGTTCTACAAGGCTTCTTTCGGCTGATACCGTACTGATCTCTTCTTCGTGAAAATTTGTTGGAGCATCAGAATTCCCATTTCAGCATTTCCTTATTGCCAACACTCGTATCTTTGATTTAGCCCCGCTGTTCTGTTCGCTACCTGTGCGTTCGAATTTCGCAAACAAATACCTGTACATTTTAAAATTACTTTAATCAAATACACATGTATTTTTTTTTTTATATTGTACCAGTACCTGTTCAAGGGTGAAAAATGTCAAACAGCCAAGTCACAAAGTTACGTAATTGTTGCGTCTTAAAACTGAAAAGTGGTCCAAGGAGATCCGAACCGAGAACAGCGGGATTAATCAGAGATTGCGTCCGTTGCGTTCTCTAGAACTCGTGTGGACATTGGAAAGTAATTTACTGCAAAATGTATACACTCACCTCATATTATACGAGACGACAGCTGTCGCAAGATCGGACGCCGCGAGAGCGGATAACGATCCATCGAAATCAGCGGCGAAGTGCTCCGCCAGTTCCTCCACCTGAGTGGACCAGCCTTGACCGGAACCATTACTCCCGATGGATCCTGAAACACAGAGACCACGCAAACGCTATAAATTTCTCCCTTCGTTTTCTCAAAAGATCTTTCATTTTATTATAACGATTCAAATGGTTGAGCTACGCAGATATATCGGGAGAATTGTCGACATTTTAAAAATTTGCTCCTTATTAATGCACTGAGAAAGCCATTTAGTTGAATAAAAAAAAATTCTTGTTTAGATATGGGCAAACAAACGTTTTGGTTATACAAACTAAGATTTGGTTCTTTGAACCAAGGTTTGTTTCTCTAAATTAAAGGATTTCAGAGAACTAAATTTTATTTCTTATATAACCTTTGTTTGTCCAAACAAGAATTTTGTTGATTCAATTAATTGGGTTTCTCAGTGAATCCTTAGCTCCGTACAACAAACGTCCTCGACACTTGATAAACCTTCTTTTATCTTTCATTAGAACAGTGACGTGCGTCTCTCACAATTTTGTGAAACAGAAAAGTCCGCGTACCCAATACGGAATCAAGTTTCCTTCATTGCCTTCCTTAATTCTACAGAGAGGGAGATCTACTTTTGTGTCCAAAGTAAGGCAAAAATCGACGACTTGTGTGTCACTGTTCCGTGCCGAACGTCGTCACGTTGATATTGTCGAGTTACGACACAGTAATACGCAGCGTGCAACTCTTTGCATTCGACATCGTACCGCCTTGCACGCCGTTGTAACCGATATGAAACTGATGATGCATCGCGACCGGTCTGTTCTTCGTCTCTTGATCAACGATATGACGGCGTCGGTTCTTGGCGACAACGGGGGGATAACGTCGACCCTGCAGCAACGGCACCCTCGATCTGTCGACTTCACACCACTTCATCCTATTTGAGCCGTGGCGTGGATCACCTGGGCAGCAATGCACCACCGTAACTCACACTACGTGCACATTCACGAAGATCCGCCAGTATGGCAAGCCTGGTATCAGACTCCTCTCTCTCTCTCTCTCTCTCTCTCTCTCTCTTTCTCACTCTATGTCTCTCTATCTATTCTTCTTTTCTCTCTCTCTCCCTCTCTGTCCTCGGCCGAGCTAATCTCTGTATACTGCATGTGTGTGTACTGGAGTTATCAGCCTGGTTGACCACGTGGGCGAAAAGGCGTCGGACGTAAGAAGACGGGGCGCAGAAGTTTACCGATCAGTCTCGAGGTGGTCTCCGGCAAAGCGACGTCACTCGATTCGTACACGATGCGTCATCACTCATGAACCTTGGCGGCTGACCGACAATGACAATGTCGAGCGCGAATATCGCGCCGAGAATTCTTGAATTCGTATCCCTTCTAGCATTCCGCCGACTCGCTGCAGACTCTCGCTCGGGTATTTCTGATATCGCGCGCGTGCTGGCGTATTCGGCGCTGATCATCGAATCATAAGAAGTGCCGGGAGTTATATCACGCCGCGTTGTGCTCCCATAGATTAAGTATCAGCATTGAGCATTGTATACATGCATGATCACGAGAGAAATGTTTCCTATGCGTCCAAAAATAAAGAAGATATCCGCGATATCGTACGACAAAATATAACGAACCCGTTGTGGCTACGACAGTGCTCGAGGGGTCGTTTGGCCACGACCTTTAAGAAGATATATCTACGTTAACGGCTACACGATAGAGTGACGATCGACTTTGCGCTGTTGCACATTTCACGAACGGCGTATTCTTTACATTACACACTAACGTGGAACATTTCTCGCGAACGCGAGTTGCGAGATTACTGTCGCAACTCGAGATTCTCTTGCTGTGAACAGTACAGAGGAAAGATTACAACTTAAGATTCGCTGACGTTTATTAATCAATACCGAGGGAATTCAACGTGACGAATAAAAATTACGAATGTGCACGTGCGTGGAATTGATTTCATTTTATCAAAATATAGATGAGGCACCGGAACTCTTTAACAACTTTTATCGACAAAATTTTAGCGTCAATGTCGATCGGGGTCGGCTACTTTTCATTGTTGCGATTGCTCGACTAGTGCGGCGACCGTCGAGCAATCGCTTCTTCCGAGACGCTTCCACTAAAAGAAGAATGAGAGATCGCATTCCTCAAGCTTGTTTGTTCCTTTTTATAACGGCCGGACGATATGACGCATGAGTAAATTATCAAGTCCCGCTTGTGATATACGAGTATATACATTAACGACATGGGTTTCGCACGACAAAAGCCAAGTGCAGACTGTGCGGCAGGGCCGTCCCGGCGAATCCGCTTTTTTCAGATTTTCGATATACGATAACATGCCGATAAGCGCTACTAACTCGAGATCAAATAATTCGTGCGGAATAGAATACCGCATGCAAAATGAGTGTGTAACTCTTAGCGCGCAAATATTTGTTTGTGAATAAGTGTGGACGCGAGAGAGATACTAACCGTCTCTTCTGATGTGTTTCTTCTCAAGTTCTGCGACATGTTGCAACGGTTCCGCGGAGCGACGTTTCAAATTGTTCTGCTCGCAGCTCGGTGAGGACTCGGTAGGCGAGAGCTGCTGCGGTGAACCGTTCAAGTGTATCCGATCACCAGCGGCTGGCGAGCCCTTCGGCGAGTTCTGCTTATCTTGCCACAGAGAATTTTGCGGACTGTGATATCCCATTGTAGTCTGCAAAATCGATATCGCAATCGTCTTCAGAATCGTTTTAGAGTGAGTCAAAATTCCGGGCTCTCTTGATAGGAATTAATAATTTAACACGTCGACTGCCACAGTGCCATCAAGGAGCTTCCGTTCCCGTCACGACTTTAAAATCAGCATGTTATTTGAACAAATAAATAAGTTTTGTTTATTATTCGGCAAAACTCACAAGAGAGTTTAATAGGTGCACGGAACAGGAGATTCTTTTTGCAAGCGTCAGCTACGAGATAACTCGAATTTGGCAGGTGATGTGTTAATTTCGAAACAAATCAGAGAACCCACAATTTTTCGTACAATCTATTTCCCTAATTCTACTAGCACTGCAGAAAGCTTAACACTAAAGAAATATCGAGACTGATGTGAATCGAAGAGGAAAGATTAGATGAAATGAAATTAAAAAGTATTGTTTGAGACGTAATTTGGTAACACACGACGTGAAATTAAATATTTCAATTCTCCGCCGATATCTGCGCTTGCTCTTTTATTTCGCCCGTGAACAATAAGTATTCATAGAACGAATCACGCATGAACATAATGACGATTACTTCACGCACCTGTTGAGGGCCGGCTATGACGTCACATCTGTTCGAGCGAACCGGCGATAGCTGCTCGTACGACGGAGACGACGTGTTGCCGAACCACATCGTCCCGTTCAGAGTTTCCGCGCCGCCGTCCATGATGAGTTGGAGCTCCATTCGACGGCCTTCCACCTCGGGGTGCACACGATCGCGCCGATCGCTCTCGGCGGGGATAACGAGTATCAACTGTAGTCTAAATTACGACTCTAACGGGCGGGGGCGGGTTTCCAGGCAAGACGAATATCTACGTCAAACTTAGATCTCAGATCTACGAAAGGGGTTGAAAGGGATAGATCCTCGATCACGGGGGCACCCTCCTTTTACCGGCGAGCGCTCGGCTCCTCAGACTCCGCTCCTCGTGGGTGCGAGAGGGTGAACGCGCTTGTCCGACTCACGAGAGTTACGATTACGAGTTTCGCTACGATTACACCGAACGTTCCTACGCTAATTCTAAGTCGAGAGGGTAGGAGAAAATTTCGCGGCTGGTACAGCTCGTAGCGCGAGCACGAGCCTGACGCCGAGGGGCGACGAGTCCGCGCTGATCTCAGATCGACGATCTTCGTTCCCGGGGGTTGTGCTCGTTCCCTATTCCTTCCCAGCCGCGAAGAGTGCTCATTCCTCCCGCGCGAGTACCTCCCTCGTGACAGGCCGCGTTGTCCTGTTGCGCCCACGTGGATACCCCCCCTCCCTCGGCCCGGATCTTCGATGTGCCCGGAGATGTACGGTGCATCACCCGACCTACGGTGGTTCAGGGCCGAGTACGCGCGCTGGCCAGCCTCTCTTAGAACATCACGAAGAAGCTGTTGTACAGTTTCTTGATGCCGGTGGTCTCGCGCTGCCGGTGCGTTTCCAAGAGTGCGCAGCCTCGCGACTTGAGCGACAAAAAACGCGAAAAGACGACGAACGCGTCCTCGAATATCATCGCCACGCCTTGGCTGCAACGCATCTTGTTCCTAGTGTCGGAGACCTGCTGCCGTTTCGGCGGAGAACCTCCTTCTCCTCCTGCGGACAATAGACGCGTGATTTTGAAGCACGACGAACGCACAATTAGTCGGGCACGATCGCGTACTTCGCGACTTGGTGCCCGAGGCCACGCGCTCTCAGACAGCGATTCTTCTCGTACTAAGTCCGGCTTTATCCTGTTTATTCAAATTTAAAAAGGAAAAACACGTCGATTACTCATCCGTCTACGTATTATCAATCAATACCGATTGCATTAATATTGTGCTGCGTAGGCATGCGTAATTATTATAAGATATAATTTTTATTACTCAATCAAATGTCGATTATCATAAACGAGATAATTAATTCTATTAAAAACTACTGAAATAAAAGAAAATAACAATAATATAGTATACTATATGTCAAAGGAAGGACATATGATTTACAACCTTGTAACCTACAAGAATGTGAATCTTGTGTCCTTTCTCTAAGATATCCGTTTAGGAAAAGGATATACGATTCACATTCTATTACATAGACTACTAAGTTTTAAATTATACATTCTTTCTCTGATATTTATCTAAAAAAAAAAAAAATAATAACCGAGTGATTTACATTCTAGTAAGACGCCTTATTCGACACTGGGAAATGAATGGGTCTTTTAAATGCCGGACGACTGCTCTTTCCCTTAAGCCTAAGAATCTAAGTATCACTCTCACCCACGCATACAACTCACTCTCTTATATATTCTGATGTCAAGATTAAGTTACAATTTTTTTATATGAAAATTTGTGTGCCAATTCTCAAGAATAACGAACGAACTTCTTTCGAGAGATTCTTTTTAAATACCGTCGACATCTTAATATCGCCAATGTCTTAACATCGTCAATAAGTATCAATGATACATAATTCACACCGGATGGTACAATCTACGTTTCAATCCGATATTAATGATTCGATTGAATAATGTTTATTCCCGTTGGTCGCCGTTTCTTCGCGGTTAAACGCGTGATGATTAACGCTTGTGCGATGTTTTCAGTAGGAAAAAGTTGTATATAAGCGTTTCCAGGAATAATATCTCGCTGCCGCATAACATCTTAATTGAAGCTATATGTGACTGACACGAAAGTGCAAGCTAGCGTGTCACACGGTAATCGATTTTCTTCTTGCACAATTCACCCACATTATATTCGCATCAGATTTTCTGACGTTCGTGTACAGCGCAATCGTAGTTAAATTATTACGTAATACGCGGCGACTTTGATCGAGAAGCGATGCGAAGCCGATAATTCGTAATATTGAGCGAACTCGTCGAGCGGGTCTCGTTTTGTAGTCACGGTTCGCGAACTGGCAGATATTTTCTACGAATATATTCAGTTTCAGCACATGAATTGAATATTTGAATTGAATATTTCTTTTTTTTTTTACGCAGTCAAGAATACAGCTGATAGTCCAATGAGAGAACTTCACTTCTGGGAAGTAATAAAAGAACAAATTCTCTTCTTAGACCATCAGTTGCGTTTCAAAGTGCATTGGGAAGACTAATCATGAGTATAGTCAAGAGACGGAAGGGGGAGGGGGGGGGGCTTATCGACCTTTAAATTTTGGGGCAAGGGAGGGCAGAAACGATTATAAAAATCATAAAAGTAAAAAAACGTAACCGATAGATTAAAATCTACATTCTACAAAGATGTTTCAGCACACGTTCTATAATTATAAATTAATTATAAAATATTAGCGATGCTTTATGAAAATGAATGTAATCAAAATTTCTCAATTTCACCACCAGACATTCCTTGGCCCAACGATATACAACGAGCACCATTAAAAGGTCTTTGGAACATTGCGAAAGGTGAAAACCAGGTTGCGGCTAACAGTGTCAGAAAATCGTTTCAGTAGACTACGTATGCTAAGTGTTCACAAAAAAGATGCTCGCGAAAAGAAAGAAGCTGGAAGAACAAGTATGAAAAAAGCTTCAATACAGTCTAGCTTTGATATATTAATAAGTTTTGCGTGAAAACAAATTTGTATCCTTCCCCCTCTGACTGGAATCCTGGCTACGCCCATGTATTCAATCGGTCTTGGAACTACGTATAAATTCTTATTGATACTCCGCTAACCTTTTTCCGTGCGTTTTAACGTGCGATGCCTTCTCCCTGGTGTCCTGTCTTCCTCGCGTACAAAGCAATCGAAAGGGACCTCGTCTCCGCGACGAAGAATTGAAGAGAGGGGGATATCAATTCCGCAGAGCCGGAGACATTCCCGAGGTAAACAGGTATCCGCGCGACACCTTGATTATCTTATCAAGATCCCGCGACCGTTCCCCGCGGGAGATCGACTTGCGCTTCTGTCTGCAGTCGAATACAAGTGGCTACGCCGCGACGACTGATTCCGCGATGCCGCAGTTCAGCTGGCTCGTTCTACCGAAGACGGAGGTGATGAACATCCACGTCGCGATGTGAAAAACCCTTCGGCGCAATGGGGCTTCTCGCTTATCGTGAAAACTCGAGCGATTCGAATCGGCGGGCCTTGCTCGGGTCTAGCCTGATTAGGCTCGACGTCTATATCGCCCGATCTCTCTCTAACGACTATGGCTCACACACTGGATAGTGTCTTGGGTATCGGAGGCCTTCGCCTGGCCGTTGTCACCACATTTTCAGGATCCTTCGCTCCATGGTGCCGTCCAAAAGAATAATCTGACCCCGGGGGGGAAGAACGAGGCCCGTCGTGGATGACCTCAGTGGTGCGTCCTGTTTTGTCGGCCACGTTCCCCAAAATTGTCTCGAGAGCGACGGGAGGTTTAGATCCTTTAAGAAGGATCAGCAAGGTTCTCGCAAAGGCGGGACCGAAGGGACTCAACCCTGGCCGCGATATCGGTCGTCTCAGCCTCTCGCAATTTTATGTTCCCGCCGTGATCGCGCGAGAAGACACTATCAGAGTCTCTCGAAGAGTAGCAGCCAATAGATATAGGCCATTCAGTCGCCGAGAGAGTCGGATGCGATTGAAATGCTCGTCACGCGGCCCTCCAGTTTACCACGATGCCGAAGAGGCGCTGCCCAGTTTTCCCGGTCGGTGAACACTCCCTCGCGACCTTGAGACCGACGAGGACGCTCGTCGCTTTTCACCGCGATCTTCCCGCTCCTGAAAGATGTCGCTCCTCGGATCACTCGGTCGATTTCGTCCGCTCCGACGAGTACTCACTTTGCACGAACACTAAAGATCCACGAGGTTTCCCCAGGCTTACGTGAGCTCCTGGCGAAGAAACGCGGGAACCAAAACGCGCGCGCTCGCTCTGCCAGACGCTGGTCTGCGGATTGTCCGATGACTCGAGGTCTCGACGCGAATGCTCGAACGTCCGCGAATGATCCGCTCCAATCGTGCCTCAAGGAATTAACAGCTTGGCCAATGGGCACCGCTCGCGAGGGTCGGCGCTCAATTGAAGCCACTCAGTGCTGATCAACGAGAGAGACGCGATTCCTTTATCCTCCTCCGTTGACGTTGTCTCGCGCGCTGGTGACGCCGCGTCGCGAATTCGAACGTTACCACCTAGCGATCGTCACCTGGGTGTCTCGGAGCGGCAGACAGCCTCGCGCGCTCGGCACCGCGGACACAGTCGGGTCTCCACCAATTTGCCGGCCGCAGCTCCGTGCGTCGCGATAGCCTCCCAATTTATCTGCGAGATGCGCGGCCTCGAACTTATCTTCTGGTTGCAGACGTTGCAAATTCGAAGAGGAGAACAGCTCCGACAATTATTTATCCTACTTATCAGCTACAGCGTCACGGCGCGCTGCTGATCGTCAAAGATGCACACTTTATCTGACCGTTTCGATATTGTTATTATTACTATTGTTGTCATTATTATTATTACTACACGTGGCTTCGTTCGCGCGAATTATAACGAAGCTAGCGCCGGTCTCGTTTGCGAGGTTGACGAGGATGGAGACTCCAGGACGGAAGTGTTTGACGATGACCGACGAAGGTGACCTCGACGAGCAGTAATTAGCGAATTGGCGTAGTTCGCGACTGGCAGCCGGCGACTACGACCGTCGGCGTCGTAGTCCCGCGACAGACGAGTCGTAAGAGCTGCCTGTTTGTCGCGCGGATTAATTAGTTTCGAAACGTTATCTCTGATATCGTGGCTTTTCGCGACGCGACCTCGAGAGCTTCTCCTTCTGTGCGCGCTCGCGGCAGGAGGATACACGTCGGTGCTCTTTTGTCCCGCGCGCGTTTCTGCCGCTGAACGTCACGACGAGGTGCCGATGTGTCTGTGGTGGTCGTCGTCAGCGTCGTCGTCAGCCACGTGCCGACTTCGGGAAGGACGCTTCTCTCGGCGACGTTATTTCACCGTTCCAGCACCACCTCGGTTGCGCTCTGTTTACCGAGGAGATCTAGCGTTGTTTGCTACGCGCGTTCTATCGGTCTCGCGATTCGCCGTGAAATTTTCCGATTCTCGCGGTATGCTCCTCGGCGACTTCTGCGTCGACTTGACTCGAAGAAAGTCTGAAACAAGAAAAGCAACAGTGATATTCACGACGCCCCTGTTTCCTGAGGCAATTACCGCAGCGTTTAGTTCATTTCCCGCGGTTCGTCACGTTTATTTGCGAATCCTCCTGCGGTGCCGCGAACGTTTCTTCCGCGGATCTCGTAATTGCGATCACGAACGGCGGACACAGGCGTCATATAATGACCGACAATACGTGTAATAAGAGAAGCGTACAGATTACGGATCGAGAATTTGTAACAGTCTTTATGCCTAACAGTCTTCCAGTTTCTGCAATTATTACTAGCATACGCATGAGTAACAAAGTTAATAAGCACACAGATGCAGCCATAACGGCCGCTGAGGTACATCTGTCAATCCAGATTTGCCGTTCGTAAAATTTCCACCGCCACGGTTCATCGTTCCAGCATCGCGCGAGCCTTCTTCAGCAGCTATAAACACGTTATCGTCTTTCTCATCCTGTAATTTATGGTCCACAATTTCTTCATTTCATCACGTCCACCTCCTTCCCTCTTTATCTGTCTCTGTCTCGTCCCATTCTCGATTTCTTTTACAAACAATCGAGCGTGCAGCGGCTCTCCTCCGGAATGGATCAGCTGTAGTTTCGCTGATCGATGTCAATCCGCGGGGTCACCGTCGCGTGTACGCCACTCGCTTCGTAGCAAATCAAGAAGCGGTCCCTACGAACGCGCCAAGAATCGAGAGTCCGGATTCCTTGGGATCTTTCGTCCACGTAATTTCGTCCATAATTTTGGCCCTTAATTGGCAGGTCTGTGAATTTCTATTTGAAGCTGAGAAAAATTCAGATCTGGTCTTTGGGAATTATCAAAAGCGACACGCGAAGGTAATCGTCGACGATCTCTATTCACTTACTACACATTCGTGAGAGGCGAATTTTTCAACGATTTTCGCGCGAAGTCCACGGCGAAAATTGATTCACGACGTTGACGAGACGTATAAGTGCACGAAGAAAATGTTAATTTCACTGGACATTTAGAAACTGAAGCAATCGACGATATTTTTCGCGCAGCAATTCCTATCGATACGCCTGTTGCATAACCGTCGTCGGAGTGTCGCCTTGTACTTTGCATCCGGCGGACTTTTTCGAGATCAACGACCACCACGATCGTTCTGCTCATCCGGCCTTATCATGACGAGCCACGATGTGTGGCTCGCAATAAACAAAGTTGCGCGTGACGCTGTCCGTTATTTTTTTTCTTTTTATTGTAACGCGGAGACCCGGATGTGAAAGATTTACGTACGCTCGACACGGATTGCAACGTTGGGAATTATACGCAACTGAAATCGATGAAACAACGTCAGCCAGTGGAGACGACTGGTGGGGATCGTGTCAACGAAATGATACTTTCAAATATATTTCAATATTCACTATATCACCTATTTATTATTAATTATTTATTATTATCTGTTATTTTACAAAACGGTTTCGCACAGGAATCACCGTGTATCCGTTTAAATACTCGCAGGCTGGATCGATATGTGTGACTGAAACGAATCCGCCCGAACTGTTTGAGTCGGCTTATGCAAATGGAAAATACAATATTGTCGTAATCCGCACAAACTACTTCTGCCTGACGTGCCGATAATTCGGAAACACGTAATATCTATTTATGAGAAGGCGCGTGCTCCCTCGCGGCTTATTAGTCGCTGATGTAACAACGTCGAACAAACATTCTCTTAATTAATTATTGTCACTTTCCAGGGGCCGCGTGGTGCGCTCTCAGGTGTCGTTAAATCGCGTTAAGTCGATCAAATTGTACGCGTTAAATGGGAGTGACGGTGTCTGTGAAGGAATTTCGCGAAGTCCATCAGAAACTTCGTCGGCGCGGTGTTGTGGTCCCTCGATAGCACCGTAGAATCATATATCGGGCGTCTCTTGCGACAAGTATACCGAGAAATCCATTTAGTTGACTCAAATAAGATTCCCGCTTGGATGTGTGTAAACAAATCTTTTGATTGCGAAAACCAAACCTTTGCTTCTCACAACCAAAACATTTGTTTGCCCATATCCAAACAAGAATTTTACTTAAGTCAACTGAACAAGTTTCTCAATGTAGCAGCCAGGGTTATTTGCGCTCGCAGCGGACGAATTCACTGAGTCGCGATCTCTTTCCTCAATTAGCAGCATCGCGGTGTGAGAGATAATGAGTGCGAGCCGGGCTGGGAAATCCGCGAGAGAAAAACAGCCGACGAATGAGAGATCGCGCGCCTCGGTTATCGTCGCAAAGGGAAAACGACTGTTTGTCGCTGAATTAAAAGAATTGCCGACACGGCGCGTCGAAGCGCGAGCGTGAACGACTACACGCGTGTAAATCACGCCGATGATTTATGATTCACGCCCGCAGCACGAACCGTATTATCGAATAACGAAGCGAGAGAGGCGCTGCGCTCCCTCTTACTGTCGGCGTTGTCGACCGTGGATTTATGAATGCTCGCAGAAAAATGCAATTTTCGAGCAACGCCAATTTGTCGTCGGCCGATGCATTCTGCATCGTAAGCATCCTTTTTTCCCAGGATTTCAGTAACTCCCTCGACATCTTCCTCAATCTCCTGCGAGCTTTCGCGCATCAACGCGCAGCGAACGGTGGCAGAACCGGCAGCTTCGGTAATTAACCCTCGACTAACAAGGTTCATGCAGTATAGTACACAACAAAATAACAAGATGGCTCGGATTCGACCGGCAGAAGCATTCGTTTTTCCAATTAATTCATTCGATCAGACATTTTTTATTCTTACAATGAGTTAGAAAAGATTTAAGAGTAAATAAAATATATCGCAAAATATGTAAAATATCTGAAATATAACACTTTATAAGCGCGTAGGCGGAAGCATTAGAATATGGTTCCGGGCGGATCCGACCCAACCTTGTTATTCGGGGGTGAATTCAATTTTAAAACGCAAGTATCGGGTTTCTTCTCTCCTTTCATTTTCCCAGAAGGATCAAGGCAGCCGTAATATTATAGCGCGGTCGAAACGCGCGCTTGGAAGGCACACCGCGACTCAGGCCGAAAAACACGCCTCGCCGTCGAGAGAAGGAGACAAAAGAATATACAGAAATGATTTTCACAATTCTCGGAGAAGGGGAGGAGTGATGGCACGTCGCGCAGCGTGACAGCAAACACAAGTGTTAATTCGACGTGCACACCAAGAAGCTCGAGCAGATGCGGACGCACATGCACGCGTCCGGACGGCAGGCGTGTGCACCGAGGCGTCAAGGTTGCGCGTATATACGGCGGCCGTAATGGTCTGAACGCACGTCCGCACCACGTGTAAAGTCTTTTGCGCCGTCCTGCTTTCGATTGAAATTATAAAACCGGTTGCGCAGCGCGCAGTGGTATCTAAGCTATCTCTGTACGTTCGCGCGGCCTATCGGCGATGGGTGATGAGACTCGCGCGAGAGACCTCCGGAATAATTCGCCTCGCTGAGATCACCGTCTCATCGGGAAGGTCCGAGCAGCGAATTCAATATCATCGGGTATGGAAGCAATGGAGCGTGCCGAAAAGCGTGCCACCTTAAGACTCGCCTTAAGATCGAGAAGTTCGCCTTAACGAGCGAACGAATTTATTTCGCCTCGACGACGCACACACGCGTAATACCTCGAGCCGAGTGTGACGCAACCGCGTCGTGGAGATGCTACAATGTCGCTCACATGCGCGAACAATAACATAATTTACACAAGAAGTCGCCGGCGATGCCGTCTATCGACGAGTAATTATTCGTCCTCCCTTTTGTCCTGCGCGACAGCGTCGGTGTCGCCGATTGTTCGCGAAAATTGCGACGAAGATTGCGACGGAAATTGCCGGTCACTCGGAGCACATCGTCGTCCCCTCCCGCGGGCAGCCTAGTCTCGGACTCAAATACCAAGGAGCGCGACGCGCGTCGACCTTATCCGCCGCACGCTGACACTCTCGCTCCAGGATACCGCTCCAGACGCGGTAGCGATGGTTCAAGCCCGGCATCGTGTGCAAAACCGCCACGGAGCCCAATACTCCGATGCGCGGGTTCGCCGCGCCGTAGAAGATCCGCGAGACTCTCGAGTGCAGCAACGCCATGGCGCACAGGGGACACGGCTCGCTCAACAGAAAGACCCAGTAACCCGTGCACAGATACGGCCCGCTCCTGTCGGTGTCCGGTGCGTCGACCCCGCGTCCTTCCTCCTTCGCGTTCGCGCCGCTGTTCCTCCGTCCTTTGCGCGACGGTCGCGTCCTGAGGGGCGCTTGAGGCGGAAACGTCAGCGTCGACAAGGATCTCGGGTAACAGAGCGGCGTGTCCTCCTCGTACCTCCTCTTGATCCTCCCCAACCGCGTCCTCAGGCCCTCAACATCGCTCACGCCTTCGCCAAGCGTTTCCTTCTCCTTTTCTACATCCTCCTCGCCACCGGCGTGGTTCGCGCCTTTCTTCACGGCTTCGTCGCGCTTCCCATCGTCCAAGCGCCACGCACCGCCGCCGTGGAGTTTCGCGACGAGATCCACCGCTAGCATGGCGGCATGCCACATGGGATGCCGGTCGATCCTCGCGGCGGAGACCGCCAAGATCCTGCCGTCTTCGGGATCAACGACCGCCGCGGCGCCGGTGCAAAAGAGATTGCCGACTGTCTCCAGCCGGGTGGCTTCTATCACCAGCGACATGATCCCCTCGATCACGCGCAAGCTCGCCTCGTCGAACACGGAACCGTCGATCAGGCTCTCGATCGTCGCGTCGGGATGAAAGTTCACCGGCCAGACCTTCGAAGCCTCGCCGGCCTGCGCCTTCGTTCTCGGCGGCTTGGCCGGCACCTTCGTCACTTGGAACTTGTCTGCCAGCAAGGAGAGATCAAATCCTTTCTCCTTCAGCTGGTTCTTGAGCTCATCTTCGCTGAGAGTACCATCGCGCTCGCTAGTCGACGACGATTCGCCTGAGCGGAGTGGAGCCAGCAGCAGCCTGCCGTTGGAACAACGTCTGAGATGATGGAATCCCGGCAAGACGGAGGATATGCTTTGGATCACGGCGGAGGTGTCCTTCCGTTGCTTCAGGAAGCCCACGTAAACTTCCTGCAGCTTAGGAGGCTCCGTAAACTCGGAACCTAGAATCGGCTTCGCCGTCCAGCTTCTAATCGCATGGCCCGTCCTGCTCACCTTGACACTCTTCGACGACGACATCTTCCGGCCTGAAAAGACGCTGCCTTCACTTTTCGTTAGGAGATTTCTCGGCGATGATGTGTGCGATGCGCCGCTCAATCGAACATCGATCTACCGGGAGTCGTTCGTCGTGATCTCTCTATTCCTCGCAGAGACCGCGAGCGTGTCTTAAGGATACTTTTTCGTGCCACGGTCAGGAGCGTTGATTGAGACCTCCCGGCGGAAGTGAGGAGGAGCGCGGACGATCCTGCGCCGCGGGTGAAACTTAATCGTAATCGATGTGAGTCCACGCGGTTCATTTTACGTGGGTAGAAGCGATTTTAAATTGCTGTTAACTTGGGCCACGGCCGGATCGATTGTCAGAGTTAGACGCAATTGCACGATATCGTCGTCTGCGTGAGGACGAAGCGAGACGTCGTGTTAATGTTTCAGACCGGAGGTTTCCCTTCATTTTGGCCAAGTGTGACCGTCGGTGATCCCTAATCGCACTACGAGCACAACGCTGCTCGTTACTACGCGCTATTACGTGCTGGTGTGCAATGCTTCCTCGTCGGAATGAAAATAAATGGATTTCTCCTCTAGACAGACTTCAGAACGCGGGTTTTTAATTCATCTTAAGAAATACTTCATCAAAATACACAGGGAAAACATTATAGCAAAAATTACTACAGAGTTTTATAATGTCGAACCATAGTGGAATTATGACGGAAATTATGATGTGTATTGTAGTCTTTAATGATGTACAATATGTATACACATCGCTAAAGATTACAACGTACATAATAATTTCGATAATAATTCTGGTATAATCCGGTACTGGAAACTTCTGTAATCATTTTTACTACAATATTTTCTCCGTGTACAAAATGCTGAACAAAAGTGCAACGAGAGGAAGGATTGTTAGTCTCACTACAAATTACAATCGCTTTTGGCCCCAAACATATTTGTTTATTGTCCCAATAAAAGAGTAGTAGGCAGCAAAAGTTTACATATAAGTTTATTATCAATATCATTATAATAGTGTTTGTATATTAAAGGAAAAAAATTAATTTCCTGACTGGAAATTATTTCATTACGCAATTATAAAAATCACCGTCGTTTAAAAGAGCGTAGGGAGGAAGAGAACGCGAATTATATTTATGTGACTGTCAACGTAAGTGAACTCTCATTACATAGAGAAATTTTCACGCAAAGGTCTTTTTCAGTTGTGTAACTCTACACTACGTATATAGTTGTTGATTGCAGTCGAAAGCCGCACACCACGAGTGTGCATCATGTCGCGGAACGGGTCATAAATATCCGGTGGATTCATACGTAAAAGCTCAGGTTCTCCGATGAAATCGTATTGCACCGACGCACCCGTTTGAGTGCTGTTAAGAGACCTACTTTGCTTAATATATCAGCCGCTCGATAGCTGATATTGCGACATACCATGACAATACGCGGCTTCCGCAATCGAGATGAGAAATCGACCGACGAAGAAGAGAAGAAGAAAAATATAACCGTCATGGGAGAAAAGCTAGAAGCGGCCTTTGCGTTTGTTCGCAACGACGTACTTCCGTGTGAAGGATCAAACCTTAGTAGCAATTTATTAGCGATACATTGCATCCAATATTGGATCAATGAATCGTGCTGTTAGGGAACCGATGAGATTAATCCAACGAGGAATGAACATGATGTCGCGTCAAGGCGAAAACCGCGGCTCATTCGTTCGAATTCTGACGCGAGCCGCGCGTCGGCCGAGATGGCGTCCGATTGCACATTTGCTAGAAGCAGGGGAGCACGCTTATATAACGGAAAACGAACAACAAGCGAGCACCGCGACGAGCAGCTCTCCGCTCGTCTCGATCGCGCCGCGAACACGCCTCGCATTCCTCGCGGCGGGGCTCTCTTCTCTTCCATCTCTCTCTTTCGTTCCGCGCGCAACGATCGCGCACGTTCGAATTCGTTCGAACACTCGCGAGAAGTCGCGCGCGCGCGGCGCGACTTCGAGAGATCGAGACGGGGCGGCAACATGTCGCCCCTGGAACGGCCTTGGCTCACGCAGCAACGTGTCGCTCGTATTTGGCCGTCAACTGTCAAGCATCGTCGCGACCTACACGTTGAAGGGACCCGGAGCTCGCGCGTCCACGACGCGAGCCGTCGTGACGCCACGTGTTCATCGTGCACGCGCACACCTCCCGCGAGGTATTCCCTTACCTGCTGCTGCTGCTGCTGTTACGGCCACGACGTTTCCCACGAGTTTTCACACGCCTTCACGGCCGCCGAATGCTCACCAAGCCTGTCCCAGGGTCGAAGTTCGAGGTCCTCCTGCGCCGCACGCGACTTCACGCCGTCGATCGCGACACGTATCGCGCAGTTAATGCACGTGAAATTGCCCCGTTTGCGTCGTCGCGACGGCTCGCGTCTCTTTGCCGTAGTACGAGCTGTTTATCAGCGGGTCCGCGACCGCCGTCCCATCTGGTGGCTGTGCCGGGTACTTCGCGACAGGGTCGCGCCCGACATTGTCGTCGGCAGGTCCGCGATTCTCTCGTTTCCCGCGAATTTCTCGGAGGCGTCGGAACGTTATACGTCGTTCGTGCCGGCTGAACAGGAAATAAGAGCGATGAATATTACGGTACAATTATTCGATTTGTAATCGTGTCTTTCATTCTGACTTGCGCACGCGTGGGATATCGCGTTCACGATCCTCCACGAGTGTGAAATGCAACGGCGAACTTTGATGATTTTCTCCAGCGCGATGGCGAATCTCTACGAAGCGTATGACATGATTGAGAGAAACTTTACTTCATTTTATTTTGTTAACCGTATTTTGTTCAGTTTTTCTCTTGTTATGACTCACAGAGAAATATATGTCTATATTGCCGCTGAGATAGCAATATAGAGTGGTAGTGTAGGTTAATTTTATACATAATCGATTAAATCGTAATGGCCGATGAAGCCATATTACCAATATACAGGGTCTGGAGACCTTTCTTGATATCCGTGATGTGCTGGTAGCAATGATGAGCATCAGCTGATTTTTAAAGACGGAGCGGTATGTGGCATAAGGCTCTACGCCGAAAAGAAACATAACTCTCGTTGTGAGTTGATACCCATCGTTACTAGAAGATCTTCAGAAGCAAGTCATTTTACATCGTACAGAGCCCGTATTTACCACTTTCCGTGCGTTCATCAGCTCATGTAGATTAATTAATTTCCTATCGACTATTGTGAATTTTGCAAAATGGTACATGACTTTTCCAGTCAGTTTCATCCGTTCTACCTGCACACGGATCCCGAGAGGATTATCGGACACCCTGTATATCATGATGACTCCATAGTATACATATTTAAACAATTTAACTTAACGATATTTCTTGCATTGTGTGCATTACGATGAATTTTTGCAGCCGTTACGCGAACTTCGTGCGGATCATTCACTTTGTGCAAACAAATCTGATAACGTGATAACAATGCTGCGATGTTTGCGTTGCTGTTGGATGGGTTGGTTGAAAGCATGCTGCAAAAGTTTCGAACATGTGAGTACATATACACAGACGCTTGTCGTGATGTTATACCGATCACTATGCAAGGTAACTCGCTTTGATTGACGGAACAACAGTGTTTTCCTTCTTTCTTCTCCATTTTATTAACAAAGAGAATTTATTGTCAGGAAAAAATTTAGATATTACGCGCGACCTGATATTAATTTACTATAAATTTTTTGCACGATCGAGGTTGTTTTTAAAGACAGAATTATTTCTTATCTCGAGAAACGTCGTAGTTTCTATTTCTATTTTTATTCCGAGTTTGCTTCATTGGAACGTATAATCTTTCAAATCGATCGTATGTGCGCGTATCGCGAGGTTAAAACATTGTGTGATCGTCGTCGCGACGGTAGTTTAACTGTAAGAATGAAAGCGGTTTACCTTGGTCGAGGGGAAAACGAGAAAATTGAGAAAAGAACAGGATTGTTCTTTGCAAGTAAAATCTGATATATTTCCAGTTATACAAGAGTGAGGTATTTGTTACATTTACTAATATAAATTAATCCATTTGCACTCGAGGGCTCCGGAGCGGAGCCATTTAAAATTTGTCTTCAAACTCTTCAAACTCAAATGCAAATAGCAAGAGCGGAATATCCTATACACAATAGTTTTTACGATTTGTCTTTGTCCTTATGTTATGAACTGAAAATTATTTGCATTGTCTCCATAGCGGAACCCTCGAGTTTGAAGACAAATTTTAAATGGCTCCGCTCCGGAGCCCTCGAGTGCAAAGGGTTAATATTTTATTGATTATATAATTGTGCACGACTATATATTGCGCGATTGATATTATTTTTTTTATAAATTATATATTTTTTTATAAATTAAACTGTAATATATAGAGAGAACAACTTAATTAACCATCTCGCACAGTGGCGGCAATGTATTTTTATCTCACGAGAAATTCGCGTATGTTTCAAAATACTCCAGATACGTCATCGCGGCGTCGTAAAGATATTCCAGTTGTTCCTGAAAATTAGAATAAATCCCTGACTCTCGAGCACACATCTCGAAATTTTGAACGAATCTAATTTCCAAATGTACGACGTAACATGGATTGATTTCTGTATTTTCGTCCCATGTTGAGCACACATTATACTTTATCAATTCTTTGTGTCATTGTTGACAAATCATTACATTACCAGAGATCGAACAAAATCCGGCCTCGATCGTCTAACTGCCCGCACCGCCAAACAGACGTCGCATTCTCTCTCGACCGCCATGCGCTCCAGCATAAAACTCAGTGCTAAATAAAGACCGCACCCGGTGACACCGTCGCTGAAAGATTTTTATTATTATTTATATAAATGTTTTTTAATACAAATTTTCTTTCTTTTGCAAAGCATCGCTTGAACAATATATATAAAAAGTATTTAGGATTTATTATTTAAAAAAATTTTATAATCTCTGTCATGTGGCATTGAATTTTGCTTGTTAAAGGATAAAGAAAAGTAAGATATTAGTAAGAGAGAAGGAAAAAATATGTTTTTTATCTTATAAAAATATTTTGCGTTATCATCCGGAAGATGTTATAAATTTTACTGGCAAAGCGTGACAGTAGGCCCGTCGCCTCTCGCGATTCTCTCCGTAGCTTGCCAGAACGTCACCATCGTCATGACCGATGGTGGCGATTGATTCCTCCCGGGTTTCCATTCCGTGCAGCACAATATGGTCACGGATTGCTCTCTTGAAGGTTTCTGCAACAGAAGCAATATTAAAGGGGACAGTAAACAAAAAAGTGTGTGCGGTCGCGTTGAATCGTTCTACCTCCGAATTATCAACGAGCAGCAATTTTTGCGACGTGTAATTCTCCGACTCCACGATTTCCTTCGCCGTGATGTTTAGGTACGGCGTCGGTTTAAATTCACCGCTCGCGGGAGCAATCGTGCAACAGGTCTGAAAGTCCAAAATCATAAAATTACACTTGTGCCTGCAACGCGATCTGATAGTTAGTTAAAAACTGTTAAAATCAAAGTGCCTATATTCTGATTAAATGACTGAAGCGAGAAAAAATTCTTTTTTATTTTCACTTTCCGAATTTTATAAATGGATTATTTATAACTCTGTATATTTATAATTCTAGAAAACGCTTTTACCGAATCATCAGGATCAGGCGGTTGTAGCATGACGATGAGTTCCACTTTGAATTCAGCAATCATCCTCCAGAAGTCGTTGATCGTCGATGGCATGGGAAGCTGTGTGGCTAGGTATTGGTTCTGAAGTTTTACGCCATCCACATAAACAGCGGACAGATAATCGCTGTCTTCGTCCGATGCTGGATACCTTTTCAAATATATTCTGCTCACCTTGCCTATGCATAGTGAAATGAATACGCTCTTTAACTATATTTCTATAATTCTATCACGTTAGTTAATTATCATTTCTAATTAACGTCATTGATCTATTTTTACACCTTAACACACTGAGATCTCTTTCAAATGCATATAAAATGTTTATACAAAACGTTAATAGTAGATGATTAATCAGAAAGAATTGCATTTTCTTGCGTCGTCACTATATCTCGATCTGCATTTGTTCGCTTGAACGTCGAAGGTCACGAAAATATTCTCGTACAATTCGGACGGATTCGAACAAACCTGAGATCAATTCGGGAAATCTGTTTTTTGCCCGATTACGCTCCGATAATGACGGCGGAGACGTAACTGGTCGTAGAGCTTCGTCCTGCCACGCAGTGCTCTGTAATCTGGAAATTATTGGACGTTTAGTTATCACAAGACGCGAGCGAATACGATTAATCAATTTCGAGTGGTCGAAACTATACCGTTGCTGTTGAGCCGGCAGTTGCTTCTTCAACACTTTGATTCGCGTCGGCAATGTTTCGTTGCAAGGCAAGGTAGTCGGGATAGTGAGTAAACATTCTACCAACGCCAAGTGTGCTAACAGGTATTGTTGCTTATTGTCCACCATGTTCGCTCGCTCACGTCTGATAGATGCCGTTTCAGCGAAGACGTCGACCACCTGTACGATTTCATTGTTACCGAATTAAGATCGCTCGTCGTACCGTTCGTGAATTAAGGGCAAGCACTGAATTCAATTTGTCGATATAAATTATGATCGTCTACGAGAGAGAAGCAAGTGGTTGAGGTTTTTTCTCACCAAAAATAAGAATACGTTAATATTAGCGCTGTCAATACATAAAGTAATTTTTTAATCGGGATATTCGATTACATATTTATTTATATATCATATATATACACATATATATATATATTAGCCTTGGAAAACTGTATATTCTGAATAGAAATGGTAGTAGAATCGATACCCCTTCGGCTGCTGCCCGGTGAAGACAAATGTCGCATAAAACGATAGTCCCGGTCCTCCCAACTCCAGCACTGCAATGGACCACTACGGGTCCGTCTCCGGGCGGTGTCGCCAATAGCTTCTTCAAATATGTCACTACGGAATGTGTATACAACGGCACGCCGTGGTCAGGCCAAGCCGTATAATGCAGATGTTCCACCTGATTCGTTGATTCATATGATTTAGCGGAAATAATATCTCACTATCTCAGTCGAGATGTTATTAGGTGAGAGCCTAGCAGAGGTACCTTTCGAGTTTCCTTTCCGTAAGTGATGTGCAAAGTTCGGAAGCAATAATCGGCGAAAACGTTATGCGTTGCATTTAGGACGATGATTTCGCCGTACTTTTTCTTTTTACCAATGTCCGGCCAGTACTGCTCGCATTTTGTCTGGAGAATTGGTTAAAATCGAAGCTAATTTCAGATTCGGTGCAAAAGTGGATATTGATTTTGCTTTGTTTTTCTTTATCTTACCATTTAACCCTTATCGGACGCTAGCTTTTTATGTGTGATTCTCACTAAGTTGTAGCTTCGGTAAATATATCACCTTGTCACCTCCTACGTGACGTACGACCGCAGCGACGAAGTATTGTTGTCACATGAGAGGTGACTTACGACCGATAAGGGTTAATTAAATCAGTTAAAAAGTTCGGTTCGATTTTGAAGTCGAATTTCACTTTGTTGCATTTGATGGGAACAAATCAAGTAATTGTCGTCATTGTTCACGATTCTTTGCCTCATTCGTATATATCATAGAAGGTGGCCTGTTTGCCGTCAAAGAAGTCATTGAAAATTGTATCAAATTTTTAACTAATCCAATATTTTATCAGTCTTCTCGACACACGGTCCTGATTCTCACGTATTCCCAAAGCAGCCGCGCTTGAGTTTCAGTTTCGTCCAAATCATTACGATTTCATAAGCAAAAAAGCATTCACCTTTCCATTTTCTACCACGTTTGCGAGCATGCAAATAATGAGAACCTTCTCCTGCCAGATCATGCGCCAAAAATCTACGACCGTGCTGGGCTTGGGCCCTTGCGTTGCTATGTAACGCTTCTTCTTCTTGTAACCCTGCATGCGATAGTTGTACTCTTTACATGTGATTTACGTTCATCAAAATTTAAATTAGTAATTCGTTTCAATGTCTTTTTGGCGTTAATTTGACCATGCTCTAATAATGATATAGTTGTCATTAACATAAAACGCGCACGAGCGAATAATTTTTCTCTCAACGTGCGCTTTAGAATAGAAATATTAATCGCTATTTGTGACTCACGGTGATGTAGTTGGCATTGATGTAATCGGAATAAGTGTCGTCCGGAAGTTTCTTCAGTATCACGCGAGTTTCGTCATCTGCAAATCACAACGCATGATATTATTTATAATCGCGCAATCGTGCAACGCAAAATTATACGGAAAAAAGTCGGTTCGTATAACTGATTTTCTGTTATTTGACGACCAGACAAAGATTCGGTTGTAAGAACGGAAAGATTTCTGTAAGAGATATCAGTCTATTGATGTCAGTTATTTCAATTCAATTGAAATTTAGTACAGCCGAATGTCCAGACAAATGTTTTCGGTAGCGACAATAAAGATGTTTCTAGTCAAGAAGCTTTGATCTGGTCCTCATTCTAACATATGAACTCGGATTTTTTCCACTCGCTTTTTTACTCACACGCTATGAGGTTCCCGTATCGATTCTTGGTTTTATTTTGTGGCAGTTTTCCGTATTCCCACGGCTGCGTTTGCCCTCTTGGAAATGTCTTAGAAATTTGTAGGATCGATTTATCATATTGCGATTATATACAAAAAATACAACAGGCAAATATTTTCCTTGCATACGATTAAAATTACACACGTAGCCATTTAACGTATATTTAACGAGTGTAAGGTAATTTTTCTCAAAAAGAAAACTGAGTGATCTGTTGATTCTGTTGTTCGTAAAAATAATTCGAAGTGAAGTCGAGCACTTACCTCATATTGCTTGTCCAACAATCCCGACTCTATCGCTTGTCTGACGTAATCCTCGAAATCCTTTACTTTTACCAATGATGTCACTTCCTTTTCTTCATCGTTATTCTCGAGTGTGATTGTCGACACTTCCGGAGTGGTTGCCCGCGATAGGGATTGCCTATCAGACGGAGTTGAGGGGGCCTGCTTCGAGTTTGACATCATGGACTTTGTATCGTGATCATAAGTTTCAATGTTCTGCGATAGAACCATTTCATCTTGCAACTTTAGTTGTTTGTTCGTTTTCTGCCGTTTCCTATCAAGAATTATACGCTGCATTGCGGTGAAGATAAAATTGACTCGTATTGGACAAATCAGAAAATTCCATTTGATTTTTAAGACAAATTTGACTCGATTATATTTAATTCTATGATGTTTTTGCTAACATTTTGGCAGCACTCATCTATTTCTCCTGTAGAAAGTGCTTGGATTATCATTCGAAGAAGGCAGAAAATCCAACCGAAGAATTTTCTGACTGACTCACCACTAATCAGAATATTCAATTCATTAAATTAAAAGGGAATTCTAATTAAAAAATATTTGCACATCAACAGATATTAATAAGCGTCTCGTTATAAAGAATATTATTACAATTTTTTATCAAATAGAGGATAGGAGATTCTACCTTTGGTAGAAGTATACAGCTACAGCTATGACGACGAAAATGATTAGAATGGGAACCAGCCAGGATTCAGGATGATTCGGTTTCATTCCGATGATGATCCCACTCGACGTTTTTCTCGTGATCGTGAATGAATTATAAGGAAAATTCGGCTCCTTTATAATAACTGCTATATCATACGACACTCCAGACTTCAATGGGCAGTTGGATGTTGCATCACCATAAGTCTCGCTACCGCCGAGCGTGAACACCTTGCCTCTGGACGCAATGCTCGACTGCATACGAGGTAATACTATTTTAACATTTCGCGTTTCCCCATGTCATTATTACTGAATTATGTTTGCGCGAGATTAATTTGCAAATTTAAAATTATTACGCATACTGTGCATTAAAACAATTAGTCAATGAGTGTTAAGGCTTATGTAGCGCTTGGTTACACTAAAATCGCTTGTATCAACAATCGATTGAATTTACGTAATATAATATGTTATGACAAAAATTTATATACATACCGGAAGCGCAACAGCCTGCCAACCGTCTTGCACACCTGCTTCCTTCAACAAATCCTCATGCGGTCGTATATAATTTTCGCAAGGAGAAGGCCCATTGACTATAATGTACAACATGCTTTTGCGCGTATTGTTTACGATATACGGAATATCGACTGCAATCGTGGAATCAAACTCGTACGCGTTGAACGTCACATTGCCATTGAAATTTACAGTGGAAGGTGTCCGAATATTCAAAATTCTTGTCTCACTCTCCTTGCCCTCTGTTGTCACAGACTTAATAGAAATGTTGTATTGCGTCGACGGTAATAAATATAACTGCTCGCTGTAGATACGCATGTAATCAGTTACAACGAAATTGTGCGGCATGCTCTCGGTAGATCGCCGAGCACGGCTTCTCAAATTTGACGAAATTTTCTCTACCGTGATGGCAAAACATTTCAAAGGACGACCTGTCCTCCAGGGATGGAGCCATTTCAAATCGATTACGCTGTTGTTTTCGATGGTAAAGGTGAAATTGCTAGGCGGATCCGGTGCTGGAACACAAACAGGGATGCATTATTACATCAAAATCAGTAACTAGCTACGATTTACGACATAATCTAGGAAAAATAAAAACGTCTTTCTTGGATGAATGTTGCACATAAAGGTAAATTGATTTTAATTTTCAATATGAAATGAACTTCAAATTTCTAACTTAAATTAAGTTAAATTCTTTAGGTTGTTTCATGCAAAATGTTTCTTATAAATTTTCAAGACCGTAATTACTTACTTGTGTTGAAAAACATTTCCGCAGTGACTTCAACCGGACGACTTGCTTCAGAAACATTCATGTTATAAGCTACAACCTGAAAATTCATGTTTTATATTTTGTAAATGTAAATATATCTGTCCTGTAATTTACTTTTACTGATGTGCAATACTTATATCGTCATTTATATATTATTCACATCTAGAAATATCGATTATAATATTTCCTTACATGAATATAACCAGTTTTGTAGGGAAAACTTTTACATATATAATTTTCCCAAAAGTCGCACGATTCACGTAACTCCACCTTAACTTCGGGGCATTGAACTTGACCTTCATTCACATTATATATTTTATAGCTACACACAATGATACCATAACGAGATAATATCCCGTTGTGAGGTGCAATAGGACTTTGCCATCTTAAATATATCGTTTTACCATTATTTACCTCCACGACTTCTAGATTGGTAATATTAGGTGGTGCTATTGTATCAGAAATTATGTTGTAATGAAAATTATATTGTAATGTTATTGAAAGTAATATGAAATACGACGAAATAAAAAATAACTTTAAGTTTTACCTTTAGGTGGAGTTTCGAACTCATACGGTTCGAAAACGGAAATGTTTAGTTGACGGTTGTAGCCTCTTAAAGCAAAAATGTTTGCGACGTATCGTTCATAGCCATGTAATAAATCTTGTATATTTAAAAATTTGCGTTCAGTATTCTTGGTCACATTGAAATGTTGAACAGCGTTACTAATTCCACGTATTTCGATTCTAGCTACTTTTAATGGTCCCAAAATCGCTGTACAATCTTTGGGAGGGCCCCACAGCAATGTCCAGCCTTGCCTTCTCAGTTGAGAAAATGTAACTGCTGGTATCACTATAACATTGTAAACTAATGTAGTATATCTTCATAAACTTATGTGAATGTACACGTTGTTAACTTTTTATTATATTAATTTAAAGTATATCGTTTTAATTAAACATTATCCATTAACAATGAAAGATATTTGCAACAATATGAAAAATAATAATTAAAACAAACCATTTAAAAACTTAAATTTAACGCAACTAATGACATATCGATTTATTAAAAGATTATAAATAGTTAATTGGATAGGCGAACATATAATGAACGCTTAGAACTAGCCAGAACTTGTTAAGTTATACTCCATTTCTTGACATTATGATAGAAGTAAGGATATATACCCGATGCATCCATCTTAAACGTCGTGCTTGCTGCTTTGCTTACATATTCCGAATTTCTCACTACAACTTGCACATCATACTTTACATATGCATGTAATCCAGAAACTGTGATTTCCGTCTTATCTGTCTCTTCTACAATAGTGTCATTACTCGTTGCAGATATTTCGAAATCCCGGCAGCCAAAATATTCTTTAATCTGACGTTAATAAAACAGGTAAAATATCGGAAGTAGCTAGTATAAAGAAATCAAAAATTATAACTAAAATTTTATGCTCGGGAATTTTTAATATTTCATTTTCAACTATGGATACAAATGACTGCCTATCATATTATTATATAGCAAAAATTATTACTGTAAGATATATGTATTATCTTAATATTGTCAAGATGATGTTTCCGATACAATATTTTAAGTTTTAAGAAATTCTACAATACATTAGCTTAGAGACTCTATTATTGTAATTCACGCAAGGAGATTAACCGAGCATGTTATTTGATAACTTATTATTTTGATATTTTGCTAATTGTTATTTTGATGTTTTGCTAACTAGTAAATTAATTAATAATTATTTTTGACACACCCTCAGGTATATAACATAATCCTTTATTACTCCGTTTGGTTGCAGTGGTGGTGTCCAAAATAAACAAACTCGCGAACTTGACAACGGCGTTGCTTTAAAATTTAATACTTCCGATGGAACTGTTAATATTAGTAAAATATATATTATTTACAAGGAATATGTATGTCTAATAATGTCTATGCGCAAATGAATCTCCTATGAAACGTTGAAAATATAATTAAACTCACCGCCTTGGAGTGTACGAACTTCCCTGGAAAATATGTTCTTATCTCTACTGCTTATAGTTACATTGTAAGACTTGTATGGAGTTAAGTTAGAGAACTTATATGGGAAAGATATTATTAGTCCTGGTATTGTTTCATCTATTAGATCATCTTTATGCTTCAATTGCAGGCTATACGAATTCATCGGACACGAATACGGTTGCTGACATAGAAAAGCTGATGTTATACTATAATAATATACTGGCTACCATATAAGACAATTTATTTGAGAATTGACGTAAATATATCTCTAAGTAAACGTTTGAACTAAAAAGTATCTACTTACATTTTCACCCTCTTCCACGTCAACTATTATGCTTGTTTCATTTGGCGTTACAGAGAAAGTTGCGATAGCTAAATTGTTAAAAGAATAATAGAACATGTTATGTAATGAACTATATATGTGTAGAAAAAGAAGAAAAAAAAAGAAAACACCAAAGATAATGTTTTTACTATGAACTAAAGTATAATAAACATGTTAGTTATTATTTCTTAGCACGCTTTCGGTAAAATAATAATTTCGTCCTTTTAAAGTAATATTCTTTCACTATAAAACTTGTGTTTTCTTATAGTAAATAGTCCAAAGAATATTTTGATATAAGATTAAATTAATTAATTTATTTTTAATATGTTGTTAAACCTTAATATTCTCATTATGTCCCGAGTTGCCCTATCATTTCGCGGAATTATAATATCACGGAACCAAATAATATGTTATTAGTAATATAGTGATATGTTTTTCTAACAATTCTAACGTTCGAAATATGTTTTAAGTAATAAAAGGATAACGAGATAAAATCAAGAAGGAGGTCAACTTACGATCACAATCAGTATTCACAACTTCCCAAGAGCTATAAGTTTGCAATTCGTCAACTGAGAAAACGCATAGGATATTATAAGCTGTGCCAGGATTCAAGTTTGTAAAGATACCTATTAAGTCTGTAGTATTTTCAAATATTCTCTTCGGTTCTTGATTCACTTTATCGCCCGACATCTGTGTGGAGAAAATATTAAGAAGAAAGGATCTATTTACTCGCTTTCAACACAAACAAAATTTTCGTATTTTATGGATTATTTGAAAGAATAATGTCAAACGTTTACTTCAATTTTGAAAAAATATGAAAGCTCCACTTTTTCGTATTGTTCCTCCCACTTCATTGGTACAGTGACTACGATAGTTGTTTGGTTCATAAAAGCGATCTGAATTTTCTGCGGTTTACCAATACCTTAAAGAGAATCAATATGTTATACGACTAGTTCTAAGAAGAATATATTAGATATTTGCTCGGTAAGCATAAAAAGGAACATTCTACATATACACGTAGAGAAATGTTACCTATTTGACACAAATGTGGTACGTAAGTATAATTTTTCGTATTTCTGCACCCGTTAGTACACTCTCCAGTTGCTCTGTCACATGTAGAATGCAGACATGAGCCACATTTCCCTTTACAGGCATGGCCATATAAACCTTTATTACAAGCTGAAAAAATAATTCGCTAAATAAAGATATGTAGAAATGTATTGGAAAGAGAACATTGTAAAGTTATGCAATACATACATGCACCACATTTAGGTCCTACATATCCAAGTGGACAGGTACAGCCATTGTTGTGACAAATTACAACAGCCTTGCAGTCATACTGACTTTCTAATATATTTTTGCAATTTAAATGGCATGCCGGTCCAAGATATCCACGAGGACAATTTTTATTATCTAAGAAAAAATTATACTTAATATGTAATTATAAAATAATATGGAAATGTATTTTATAAGGGCCATGAAGTAGTTATTTCTTATTAACACAAATTTAAAAGAATTATGCATATTGATAACATTAGAATATATATTATATATTACATATTTTTGTTCACAATGCATTCAGTTATTCTTTGAACATAATATATTATTATATTCAACATGTAACATATTAATTTCATTTAACTTCAGGTGAATGAACGCAATTATCTGCTTTACGGAAAGAAATAAATATGACAACTTTTAACCGAACACAAGTGAATTTTTCTAAACGAATTTTTATTTTTAGGAAAAAATTGAAAAAATATGTGGAAAAATGAGAAAATCGGTTTGTCCGAGCCTTTAAAACTATACCTAATTCCACACTTAGATCTGGCCGTTCTAAAGGATATACGACAGATTGTTCTTTGTAAAACAATTTTTGGCAGTTCACTTCAGGCCAGAAATAACCGCGCCCTCTGATCCAATCTTGAGAAATGGACACGACGCTCTGTCTTAAGCACCCTGGAGGAAACCAGTTATTTTTCTAATGAAGAACAAATATAAAAGTCAAGGTCGCGGGGTAATTTTTCGAATTATATATTGAATATATAATATATGTAATAACAGTTAATAACTATTACAATAATTGGAAACATCTAAAATATTACACACCTTTTTGGAAACATTCGCGAACATTTGCTATCGCCCATATAGGATTAAAATTGTTTAAATTGAGTTTTGGAATCACTACGATTTTCAAGTTGACATAACTGTTCGTCGTTAAATTTGACATGATTTTGACGGACTGCCACATGGGCAAGCCATGAATAGCCGCCACTGACGAGCCCTTTACGGTTACTGTATACAGGACTTCATTAGTAATGGAATTGCGCAACAATATATCTGCATCGCATTCTGCGCAGAGACCGATTAGTATTTGTAAACATATAACATTAGTATTCAAAATAAACGTGTTACTCGTTAAGATTGCATCCTGGGTAGTAGTGTAAAGATAATTATCTGAAAACATTGTTTATATCATTTCTTGTAACAAATACCTTGTAACTTGATTATTGTACCAACTATAATAGTTAATAATATTTTTTTTAGAAGCGGTACTCACATCGGTGACATCGGATTAACATTGATACAGGACTTCTTATGAACACATTTTTGGGAGCGAAATGTATCTTATTATCATTGTCTTCGTCGTCGTCTGTATATGTCATAATCAGTTGATCAGTGTCGTAGAGAGATACTTTTCGCGTCTCAGAATTCCACGTAAGAATAAATGATCGCCATTCGTACTCGTGCAATGCTGTGCGCTGTATTAAATATCAATAAATTTTAAATATATGAATTTTCATATTCAAGTAATATAATTATAATTTCAATTTATATAATTTCTTCAAAATTATATTTCTAGAGTCTGCTGCATGTAATAATGTACGTAAGACATTTAATGGTATTTTAGTGACTATTTTAATGACATTCCATTTCATAATTATAAACTGATAGATTTAGCAAGAACATATATCTTACATTTAGATGGGCACGTTCTATTATGCAATCCGAATTTGCACGTGGAAATCCTCCTATGATAGGTACCCCATCCGGACATTTTCGGATAACAAATCTAGTATTTTTCCAACCGCCTATTATGACCCAGTAACACAAATCATTTTCATCTGTGTTACAGATTAGTATATGCACATCTCTTACCGCCCGTATTGAAAACGGATATACTATTGTGGTCGAATTATCATAAGATATAACTTGATAGGTTTGACCACCAATGAGATTATTTTCCTCGAATGCTGAAAATTTGTACGACATTTTGTTTAAAACTGTTTTATCTCGTTCCTCTATAGATAATTATGAACTTTTGTATCTGGTAAATATTGTAATAGTATTTATAAACATTGTAATCTATTTTTGAATAGCAAAATGTTTACCTTCCCATCGTTGATCGAACACCAGACCCATAGGTGTATTGATAGAGTTTGTAAGCTCCCAATACTGTCTGTTCCAAAAAGACAAACAGTCATGGGAACCGTCCATTTTACAATCTATTTGACTATATTGCAAGTCACATGTATTAGGAAATTCTGAAATAATTTGCGCACAAATTGTGAGTGGATTGTTAAAATAAGAAAATAGAACTACGAGTATTGCATTGCATTAATTTTGCAATTAAGTTTAATACATTTTGCACAAGAATATGTTCTATATTCAATATAGTAAAATTTTATAAATAGTTCATCACATGTATGACAATGATTAAAAAGGAAATTCCGTGTAGAACTTATAGATATGGCTCATTCTGTTATATTATTGATTAAACACTGATGTTTGTTTATTAACTTACGTTTCGCGTTTCTGTCGATAATAGGCTTTTGGTGCCAATCATAGATTGAATCGGTATTCCACGTCAAGGCGCTTCCATCATCTTCTGAAAGACATATCACTTTTCTTTCGTCACTATATACCGGTCCGCTAAATGTGGTTAATCTCCCGAAAGTATACGTTACTTGGCTCACCAAAAAAATTAACACTAATATATCAATTATTGTTCTCGACATTGTTATTGAACTCACAGCACTTTTCGTTTGCAAAACGAACATTTGTTACAAATGAAATAAATTAAAAAATCGGCGGATGTAAGTGTTGCGACTTATTAGATTAATTTTCACATGGTCACTTCACAACTCATGTATCATGTAGACATACCATAGTGCGTGAGCAAAACATTTCCACGTATCAAATAATTTTGCATAAAAAGAATCACACTATAATATTTTTTAAAGGAGCACGCACTTTAAAAGAATGGCAGTCTCTTATCCAGAAGAAATAGCTTGCATCTAAAATTGAGAAATGTAGACTTGGACAACACAGAAATAGCGGATTCAAGTTCTAGTCAGCACACTTTGTATTGTTTCGTCGTCATGTTATTTAGACTGATGGAGAACGGTGGTTTCAGGCAGTAACTGGTAGAAAGGAACTCGACTTCCTTCTAGTGAATCCGCGATAACATATTCTCTATCCGCTAAATGCGACTGACGCATCAGGAAGTGAGAACTGTACCGGAATGTTACGCATGTTTTATATCATTTTTTTTTCCTTTTTTCTGCTCGATCGATATTAAAATTACGTAACTTTGCATATTAAATTATTCTACATCATACACATATGGCTTTGAAAGCATGAAGTGAAAAAGAAGTAAAATAATTTATGTATAGAAATTATTTATGTAATATTTTGTAAAAAAACATTCGCCTCTGCACATTTTTAAACTATCTAGGTAATATATTTTAAATAAGTTCACTGAAATTGATGTGAGGGATGTGAGGGATGTGAGGGATGTGAGGGATACTTCCACAAATACAATTGCATTACGTCCAAAGAAAATTAACAAAATGAGATTATAAAGAGATTATAAGAGATATATTCTTTATTACAATTGATATTTCTTTCTATCACATATACATATATATACATATCTATACAACAAAAAAGTTCAAATACGACTATACAATATCATCATTATATATATATATATATATATATGTTTATAATATTCATTAAATACGCCACGAACACTTGTTGAAACAATTCCATTATATTGTCAATTTGAATGGTATAGTTCTAGGTACTCTAAATTTAAAATTCCTTCTTCAAATTTTGTAATATTCCGACGCCTGTCAAAATAAACAAAATGTTAGGATGAACTAATAAAATTTCATTTTAGTTATTTTCAAAATTGTGGTACATTTCATAAAATCTTTTCTCTAGCAAACATAAAGTGAAATACATAAAAACAACCATAGGAGTGTATTTTCCTTTGAAAATATAACAAAAGATGTTACCTTCTGTAGAAATAAAAAGCAACAATGGATATAGCGAGAATTATTATAATAGGTATAGTCCAAGTTAAATGATATATCCATGGGTTGCTATCAAAGAGAATCGATTTTCTTTCCGTAAATATAATTTGCTCGCCGGTCAAGTTACGATCTGTTATGACAATTATTAGTTCATACATCTCTCCACGTATCAGGGAACAGTTTGCAGTTTCATTCCCGCCGATTGTGATTACCGTACCGGCCATCTGATCAGTCTGTTAAAATTAAAAACAGCCATAGAAAATATTTTATTCTCTCATTTACTTAAGATAGATATAAGTAAATATTAATTTTCATTTAAAATTTCTCGCGCTAAGAAGTTGTACACACCGGGCCCTCAGCAGCCTGCCAAACATTTTCGTTCATTTTTAGACCCATTTGATCCAACAGATCTTTGGATAACTCTGGATATTGGCAGAGATTACGACCTACTACTATGATATGGATCATGTTATCGCGCGTATCATTCAACACATTTGGTATCCATAATTGTATTGTCGAATTGTTCAATTCCGATTTAACTAACAGCTCATTGTCCAGACTTGTTGTTGCAGGCATTCGAAATGTCACGATATTCGAGTGACTGGATTTATTCGTTATCGTTACAGCTTGGACAGCAATGGAGTACTGAGTCGACGGTAGTAAATATAATCGTTTGCTGTAGACACGTGTGTAATTAGTTACAATAAACTTGTACGACATGCTTTTGATAGATCGCCAAGTACGGCTTCTCAAATTGGACCAAATTTCCTCTACTGAGATGTCAAAATAATCCAAACGACCACCTGTCCTCCAGGGATGGAGCCATTTTAAATCGACTATACTGTTGTTTCCGATGGTAAAGGTGAAATTGTTAAGTGGGTCTAGTACTAAAACACATATAGGATGTACTATTAAGTCGTAATCCGAATCATCTTGTTAGGTTCTCTCGGAAGGTGTAACAGATAATCGTGATGAGAGATCATATTAGTATCGTTAAAATTGATTACACCAATGCAGAAATGTAATGCTATATATTAAATTTTTATGCAGAACTTCTTATAAATATTCAAGACCGTGATGCTTGACTTGTATTATCAAGCAAGTTCTTTAGTCACGTTAACAAGCGAAATTTCATAAGAAACATCTGTGATAATATTATGTTTACTTACTTGGATTACGAAGCATTTCCTTAGATACTTTAACGGGAGAACTTCCTTTAGAAACATTCATGTTATAAGCTATAACCTAAAAGACCACATCTTACATTTTACAAGTGTAAATATATGGATCCCGTAACTTACTTTTACTGTCATCTAATATTCGTATTCTTGTTTTATGTTATACAAATTTTTTGGAAATATCAAGAATGTTTCCTTACTAGAATCTCGTCATTCGTGTAATTAATATTTTTACATATGTAATTGTCCCACAAGTCGCAAGATTCATTTAATTCCACTTCAATTTCGAGGCAATGCATTTGACTTTTATAGTTACACCAAAATATGCCATAACGAATTAATAACCCATTATGAGGTGCAAGTGGACTTTGCCATCTCAACTGTATCGTTTCATTATTATTGATCTCGACGACTTCTAGGTTGATAACATTAGGTGGTGCTGTTGTGTCATAAATTATATCGTAATTATTGGAAGTTATAAAATGAAACAACCGTTGAAAAGAAGCATCAAGTTTCACCTTTAGGTAAAGTTTCGAACTCATATTCTTCGTAAATGGAGGTATTGAACCGGCCTTTGTCTCTTAGTGCGAAAATTTTGGCGACGTATCGTTCAGAGCCGTATAATGCTTCTTGCATATTTAGAAAATTATGTACAGCATTTTTGGTCACAGTGAATTTGAAATTTTTAACATCGTTACTAATCCCTTGTATTTCGATTCTAGCCAGCCTTAATGGTCCCAAAATCGTTGTACAGTCTTCAGGAGGGCTCCACGATAATGTCCAATTTTGTATTTTTAGTTTAGTAAATGCAACTGCTGGTATCTCTATGACATTGCAAAATGTTGTCTCATACTTTCATAAGTTTGTATAAATGCATACACTTGCATTGTTGACGTTATATTATATTATGTTAATATATGGCGTAATTAATGAAACAATATCGATTCAATATATAATACACTTGTGACAATACGCAATAATTAAATCCAGAAATTAAAAAATTTGAATTTAAAACAATTAATATCTCATTTTATTAGAGGATAATAAATAATTAATTGCATAGACTTATATATAATGAGCACATGGAACTCGTTAAGACGTCTATTCCATTTTCCAATATTATGATAAATGATAAAAATAAGGATATATACCCGATGCATTCATATGAAACATCGTCTTTGCTGGTTTGCTTGCATATTTAAAATTTCTCGCTTCAATTTCCACATCATACATTGCATATGCGTGCAATCCAGAAAGTGTGATTTCCGTCTTATCTGTCGTTTCTATAATAGTGCCACCATTCACTATACGTATTTCATAATCCCGGCAGCCAAAATATTCTTTAATCTGACATTAATAAAACAGAGCTATATAAAATATCGGAAGCGATATTTCGTTTTTAATTATCGATAAGGAAAACTGCTACACCAGACTATCAGCAAAAATTAATATAAAATGTATGTGTTATTTCGACATTCTCGAGATGATGATTCCGATATGATATTCTAAGTTTCATGAAATTCTAATACACAAACCAGCTTAGGGACTCCTCAAGTCATAGAAGACTTAACGCGAAGAGATCAATCAAACATGTTATTTGACAACTGTTATTTGATGTTTCTCGCTTGATAAATTATAATTTATAATTCTTTTTAACATACCCTCAAGTACACGGCATATTCCTTTATTACTCCATTTGGTTCCACTGGCGGTGTCCAAAATAAAAAAACTCGCGAACTTGATAACGGCGTCGCTTGAATATTTAATACTTCCGATGGAACTGTCAATATTAGCAAAATATTAAGAAACACAGTGTGTTGTTGTTTCGCGCCAAATATATATGCGTAGCGAGTGCGAAACGCGAAGCCGCCCGTGTATATTATGCGACGACGCTAGTTAAGAAGTGGTCAGAAGTCATTTATAGCGGAAATATAATTAAACTCACCGCCTTCGAGTGTACGAACTTCCTCAGAAAATACATTCTTATTTCTATGGCTTATTGTCACATTGTAAGACTCGTATGGAATTAACTCAAAGAATATAAATGGAAAAGTTATAATTCGTCCTGCTGCTATTTGATTATCATTAATATTTAACTGCACATCATACGAATTCCTCGGGCACGGATATGTTTCCTTTCGTAGAAAAATTAATATTATACTAACATAATATACTGGTTTTCACGTATTGCAATTTGGAAAGAGAAATAAATATATTCGTTAGCGAACATTTTTGAGCCATAAAGTGTCTACTTACATTTTCATTCTCTCTTATGTCAATCATTATATTTGTTATATTGGTCGTTACGTAAAAGGTTGTAGTAGCTATCGTTAATTATGGAAAGAATTATATTAATTTGTAAAGAACGCCGCAACTCTCTCTCTCCCTCCCTCTCTCTCTCTCTCTCTCTCTCTCTCTCTCTCTCTCTCTCTCTCTGTATGTGTGTGTGTGTGTGTGTCTAAGCGTGCGCGCTATGATTACGTATTTATATTCGCAAATATAGTATTTCTAAACTTTTTCGTAAACTACTAGGTAAAAATTATTTATTGTATATCATTCCGCGGAATTATAATATCAAGTAACATGGCGAAAATAATGTGTTAATGATGTAGTGATATATTTCTATAACACTTCTAACGGTCGAATTGTACGGCATATTTTAAGTAGCAAAAATATAACGAGATAGAAGCAAGAAAAAAATTGACTTACGATTACAATCCGTATTCACAGTTTTCCAGGTGCCACGTATTTGCAATTCAGCAACCGAGATAATACATGAAATTCGATACTTTGCGGCATATTCCAAGTGTGTAAAGATGCCTATCAAATCTGTAGTATTTTTAAATATTCTCTTTTGTTCTTGTTGACCCACCAATATACTGTCTGATGTCTGTGTGTAAAAAATATTTGAAAATATTTATTTAATTGCTTTCAACATAAATAAAACTCTCGCATTTTATGGATTATATGAAGAAATAACGACAAATGTTTACTTCAATTTCGAAAAAATATGAAAGCTCCACTTCTTCGTATTTTTTCTCCCACTTCATCGGTACAGTGGCTATAACAGCCGTGTAATTTGTAAAAATGATTTTAATTTTTTCCGGTGTGCGAATACCTCGAAGAAAATCAATATATTAGGTGATTCTTTCTAAGAATATGTTAGTTATCTACTCGGTACGTATAACAAGGAACATTCTATATATTATATTGTAGAAAAATGTTACCTATTTGACACAAACGTGGTACGTAAGTGTAATTTGTTGTATTTTTGCACCCATAATTGCACTCTCCAGTTGCTCTGTCACATATAGAATCCAGACATGAACCACACTTCTCTTCACAAGCATGTCCGTATGTGCCTATATTACAAGCTGAAAAGACAATTCGTTAAATAAAAATATATATAGATGCAATGGTAAGAGAACGCTATAAAGTTACACAGTACGTACATTTGTTACATTTAGTTCCCATATATCCAAATGGACAAGTACAGCCATTGTTGTAACAAATTATAACTTTTTCACAATCAGTTTCAGTTCCTAGTGTTTCTTTACAATTTAACTGACATGTCGGTCCAACATATCCAAGACGACAATTCTTGTCACCTACATCCAATTATACATGTGATTATACAATATTCAAATGTGATTATATACAATAATGTATAAATATAATCGTTTATTCTATTTGTAAATAATTTTCTCCATCTTTATTGCATGTTAATAACCTTAGGGACAAATATATTATACAGCTGGTCCAATTTCAGAAAATAGAGGTAACAATTTTTACTAAATTACCTAATTTCACGTTTACATTTGATGTGCGTAAAGGATATACGACAGATTGTTCTTCGTAAAACAATTTTTGACAGGTCAATGACGTATCATCGAGGTCCACAGGAATAGATATGACGCTTTGTCTTAAGCACTCTGGAAGAAACCAGTTATTTTTCTAACAAAGAACAAATATGAAAGATCGCGAGGAAAGTTTCTGAATTGCATATTGAATATATAATATATTATACATAGTTACAGTTAACTAGTGCGATGATCATAAACATCCAAAATATTTAAGGCATACACACCTTTTTGGAAACATTGACGAACATTTGCTATTGCCCACATCGGATTAAAATTTTTTAAATTTTGTTTGTTGAGTTTTGGAATTACTACAATTTTCCAGCCGTTATAACTGTTCGTTGAATTTACCATGATTTTGACGGACTGCCACATGGGCAAGCCATGAACAGCCACCACTGACGAGCCCTTTACGGTTACTGTATGCAGGATTTCATTAGTAATGGAATTGCGCAACAATATATCTGCATCGCATTCTGCGCAGAGACCGATTAATATTTGTAAACATATAACATTAGTATTCAAAATAAACGTGTTACTCGTTAAGATTGCATTCTGTGTAGTAGTGTAAAGATAAGTATCTGAAAACATTGTTTATATCATTTCTTGTAACAAATACCTTGTAACTTGATTATTGTACCAACTATGATAGTTAATAATATTTTTTTAGAATCGGTACTCACATCGGTGAAATCGGATTAACATTGATACAGGACTTCTTATGAGCACATTTTTGCGTGCGAAATTTAAATGATTACTTTTTGTGTTTGTATATGTCATAAGCAGTTGATTAGTGCCGTAGAGAGATATTTCTTGCGTCTCAAAATTCCACGTAAGAACAAATGATCGCCATTCATACTTATTTAATGGTGTGTGCTATATTCAATTTGAATAAACTTTAAATATTATATGAACTTTCATATTCAAGAAATATAATTTCTTCAAAATTATGTTCCCAAAATCAATTGAATATAATGATAGAAGAAAAGGTGGTATCATAACTCTTGTAGGTATTATAACCCGTCTTAATATCTCTACCACGTTACTAACCCTGTTTTTTTCAACCCATTATGCGTCGCCATATTTTCATAAATAGCGTCCTAAGTAATAAATATTTCATGACTTGAGGTTTAGAATCGATTAAGCAATACTGTGACGAATGTAATCGTTCAGTCTTCAATTTCAAATATTGATTGTTGACAAAGTTATTGTACAAAATGTAAATAGGTGGCTATAATACTACCTTTTCTTCTATATTTAAGACAGTTAATGAAATTCTAGTGACCACTTAAATGATCTCCCTTTTCTCAACAAAACTCTGATGGATTTAGCAAAAACATATAATATATCTTACTATTAGTTTGGCACGTTCTATTGCACAATATGAATCTGGATATGTTCCTATGTTAGGCACCCCATTCGGACATTTTCGGATAGCTGATTTAGTATTGTTCCAACCGCCTATGATGACCCAGTAGCAGAAATTATTTTCATTTGAGTTACAAATCAGTATATATACATCTTTTACCGCCTTTATCGAAAAAGGGATCACTATTGTGCTCGAATTAAGCGATGTAACTAAATAATTCATTGGATAGGTCAGACCACCAATGAAATTCGCCTCCCGGAATGCTGAAAATTATAAAAGCTTATTGTTTAAAACTGCTTCATCTTATCATTCTTCTATAGATAATTATGAACAATTGCATCTGGTAAACATTGTAATAGCATTTCTAAACATTGTAATCCTTTTTGAACAGCAAAATTTTTACCTTCCCATCGTTCGTCGAACACCAGACCCATAGGTGTATCGATGGAATTTGTAAATTTCCAATACTTTCGATTCCATCGAGTCAAACAGCCATTGAAATCGTCCATTTCACAATCTATCTGGTTGTTTGGTAAGTTGCATGTATTAAGAAATTCTGAAATAATATGTGCACGAATTGTAAGTAGATTGTTTAAATGAGGAAATAAAACTACGAACATTTTGTGTGATCACTGCAAAAGATCAGATAGTTATATACGAACCGAAATTTACGTATGGTGTTTTATATACTCTTATATTTATGCCTACATAAGAATAATAATTTACTATTTTTGATTTATACATCTAAATCCGGCTTTCATTGTCATTCCCGTTTTTCTTTCTCGATTACTTCGCTATGTTACTGATTAAGCGCTGATTTTTGTTTGATTGTTTGTTAACTTACTTCTCGCGTTTATGTCGATAGTTTCATTGATGTTCCACACTAAGGCGCTTCCATCATCTTCTGAAAGACATGCCACTCTTCTTTTCCAATCATCTTTGCCAACATAATAGAGATGAGTTTCCGGTCCGGCAAATGTGGTTAATTTTCCAAATGAGAATGTCACTTTGTTCATCAGGAAGGTTAACATTAATACATCAATTATTGCTTTTGCCATCGTCACTGAACGAACAGCGCTTCTTCTCGGCAAAACAAACTTTTATGACAAGCAAAATAGACGAAAAAGTTGGCGGGTACACGTGTTCCAATTTGTTAACTTAATTTCCACATGATCACTTTAGCAATGGTTACTAGGCGGTAACTGGTAGAAAGGAACTCGACTTCCTTCTAATAAATTGACGACAAGATATCTTCTTCCGTCTTCGATGGAAATTTATCAGAAAGATAAAATTAATTTTTTTAGAACATACATTCACAATCGTGATGTATCAGACTACCACTGATAAGGGACATCATATAAATACGTAGTAAATGAAATTTATAGAGGAATATATTCCGCGTCTCAGAATTCTACATAAGAACAAACTATCACCATTTGAATAATAATTAAATTTATTGGATAATCTATCGCACAAATCAATATGTTTATATTCCTTGTCGCCCGCACAGAAAACGAAAACTATTGTATTCGTGTTTATCAATCTAATACAGTAATATATATTAGAATTATATGTGAATTCTTCGAATGCTGAAAAATTATAATGTATATTATTTAAACTTGTTTTATTTTGTCGTTCTTTTATCGTAAATTATTGTAAATGGTTACATTTGGTAAATGCAATTTATTTATAAACGTTTATAATTTATTTATAAACATTGTAATCCTTTCTTAAGTAACGAAAATTTTACCTTCCCATCACCGATCTCATCGGCGAAATATACGAATATATCATGCCAATTCATATCGCTAGCGCCATCTAGCGGAACATAAGAGAATTAAACATTGTACGGCAACATTTCTTATCGCAAATTTTTGATATTTTTAACTTGGAAGCTAAACAACTCGACCTAAGGAACATTTAGGACAAAAATATTGATATTTATATCAAGTACATTTACATCAGATTATTAGAAACACACTTGTAAATATATATCTGTACATTAACATGTAAATTTATTTTGTACAGTACAAAATGATGGAAGAGTACATGAATACATTGAGAGACATTTGAAAAATTGTCTACATTACATATCATATAATATATGAAATATATCATATATTTCAGTACAAAAATATACCGCTGAATTTGTTCTCCATCCGCAAGATCTTTGCACGACTTTAGGATGTTATTTATAAGCATAGAGTTGCCTCGTATGTTATAGTATAATTACTTTAATAAGTACGCACTTGGTGTATCTTAAATATAATAGCTTATAGATTATTATTTTCTAATATGAGAGCACTGGTACTTGTTGCTTATTATCATACAGTTTACAACAATACAGTTTACAACAATACATAAGTAGAATTTCTAAATAGATTCGAATAACGCAAGTAACTTAATAGTAAGACAAAGAAAAAGAGAACGGATAAACATATGTATACACGCGATAATTCGTACGCGTTGAAAAAGTGTTTTGTGTTCAAGAAATTCGTAAATTTCCACATTTATATAGTGTAAAACGCGAGCATCAGCGCTTATAAATATATAAACGGTAATAATTTATCTTTTATACAAATTTCGAAGTGTTAAAAGATAATTCCGCTTCGATGAGCGCATCTAAAAAAAAAGAAGACCAAAAGAAACAAAATGTCTACCCTCGCATACGCTATATTTTTATTTTTTACACGGAGATCGACTGCTCTTACATCTATGTGTCTTCATTCTTTTTTTTTTTCATTCGTGAAACAGAAAATATCGTGACCTAATAATCAGCGTACGTTCTCTGAATTCGTTTCATCCGGCATGTAGTCGCATTTCTGCAGTTCCTCTTTACGGAAAGACAATTTCGCATATACATACCTACCGTGGTGTCTCCGTGTACGACCGTGATGATCGCCAAGAGAACACAGTGTTAAGGTACTAAGGGGAAAATCGGGGTATCCAAGAATGCACTCGTCGGTGACGCCCGAAGCTGCACCTCGGCGACAAAAGGGCCAACAAGGCCAGACCAGCGCCCAAGACTGATACACCGCACAAAGCACCTGCCGTGATGTCGTGAAGGGGTGTGCCATCTTTCGGGGACTTGACGGCGAGCAGCAGAAGGCCTGCGCAGCTTAACGCCGATAGTCCGGCTAAACCGAGTCCTGTCCAGGTCCTTCGCAGACTCCTGCACGCACCAGCTAAGGTGCAGCAAGCACCGCAGCCGGCTGCGCTGTCGAAGTAGTATCTGAAAATGCGATGATTGTCGCGATTTCGAGATTAATCTGACGTTCGCTCGCGTGTGACGTCGCGGAAAGAATTCGTCCGGTTGCTGAGAAACTTGTACAAAGTTGGTACAATGTGTGTATACGAATTAAATATTTGAAATATTTGATTTTTTTATTATCACAATTATTATTATTATTATTGTTACTTACTGTGAGACATTGGTATATTAATAAATAATTAATTGATATATGATTAAGTAGAAGAAAATTCCTCGCGCGGAATTTGACGCAACTTTTACCCGGGTAATCCCTCTTCGAGACGTTGAAGAAAGCGAGAGGAATTGAAAGGAGGGAAATTCTACCTTCTTCCTTGCGACCAGGACAAATACAGAGCAAGGCCGCAAGTTAAAACGCCGACTAGTACCAACAGGAACGGCGCGTTCTTCCTGTCGCCTTTTTCCGCGCCGCTCGCCAAGGTCGTATTCGCGTCGCTGTTGGGGGGTGATAACGGTGGCACCTACGCGAAATCGTATGGTCAGAAGGATAATTCTATGTTCTGTTATCTGTGGTGTCATTCCGCCATTGAGTTAATGCTGTCACTTACGACGGCCGTACGAGCCATAAACGCGCTCTCGACGCTTTGGTAGGTCTTCTGGTCGGCAGGCACCATCTGATATCTAGGCGATCCGGACACCATCGGCATGGATTCCAAACCGCTATCCATGTAACCGTAGCGAGGCGGCGGCTCGCTGTGGCTCATGTTTATCAGGTCGACCGGAGCGGTTCCCACGTAACGAAGACGGCCGCAATTGCTGGCTGGACAGACATCCTGCTGTCGTGGCGGATTTTCCAGCAGGGGAAGACATCTGCGGGCTGATGGCTCCTTGTTAGGCGTCGACGTCTGAGGTCCTGTGGACGAGAACATTCGGCTCTGCGGCGTGCCTTGAGGAGTCAAACGCGTTGGGCTGAAAGTGCGATCTGAAAAGCAAAACGTTTGACGTTAGCACACGGTAAAAAATGTCATGTTAAATTTGTTAATCAATTAATAAATTAATCTGTTAATACGTTTCACACATGTCTCAAACGGTGCAGTAAACTATTAATAATATTACAAGAAGGTTGAATTACATTTTTTTCAATTAACTTTGTTAACTGTGGTTTCCCTTTTTTTCAGATCTTTATCTTCACGTTCTCGAGAACGGATTTTCGATCTAATCGAACTTTATCAGCAGATAAGAAAGGTTGTTGAATTTTCCTTTCATAAGAAGTATGGAAAACCACTACGATATTCGTCTCTACGTGACTCATCTCTGCAAAGAAACGAATCGCTATATCTTCGCGTCAGCGATCGCGACCACTTCGACACGGCATCGGCGCAAAACGCGATACCGGATAATATAACGTTCACTTAGACCGATTTAACACGAGATGAATATGTTAAATAGTAACGAAAAATATTATGTCAGAAGTTAACACAAAATTAACATGTTAGTATGATACTGAAGTATAAAATGTGTTATTTTAATAATTCGTACCATTCGGGGAACTGCCGGGAGTGAGTGCTCTCCTCTGCGGCGTGCTGGTCCGGTTGAAGGACTGGTGTCTCCTCGGCGAGAGCGTCCTCTCCTCAGATCTGGATCTCGGTTTCCTGGGTGTAGTCAGTATCTCGTGTAGCTTCTGCGTGGCCAAGTTGTTCTTCGGCGACGCCGAGAGCTCCTGCGCGTTCCTCTCGGGCAGCGCTGGCGGATTCTCATCTTGCAGAGGAACTCTGCTGTAACGGCCTGCAAGAAATATATTTCGCGCTCTAGAAAAATATAACTTCAAATGTTAAGGCTCTATTATGTCGGTCTATACATATCGTAGTGGTTTACCATACTTCTTATGAAAGGAAAATTCAACAACCTTTTTTACCTGCTGATAAAGTTCGATTAGATCGAAAATTCGTTCTCGAGAACGTGAAGACAAAGATTCGAAAAAAAAGGAAAACCTCAGTTAACAAAGTTAATTGAAAAAAATTTAATTCAACCTTCTTGTAATATTACTAATAGTTTCCTGGGTTGTATTTTATACGATTCGTTCGTTTTTCATCACGATCTCGATGAAAAAAAAAACAGATTAAAGAAAAAGGAACAACCGTACACAATGTCATTCCAAATAAGAGCTGAATTCATCGGCTTTTAACTACGATTGAAGAGAAATTACCCTGCGGAGTGTTGATGTGCCTTGGCGCCGACTTGACGTTGCTCCATTGCGCGCCTTCGTCCTGATAGTCCTGCTCACCCGGTATAAGCGCGTATCTACCGGCATTAGCGGCGCGACAGGTCTGCGGCCCTCCTCGATCGTCTTGCTTGGTCGGCGGCGCGGAACGTTGTTGCACCTGCTGCTGCGGAATGAACTCATACCTCGAGGAGCCCCTGCGCGTTAACTGGCCGCGCTCGTCGTCCCGCTGAATGTACTCGTACCGCGACGACTGGTTATAGGTCACGCGAGGCTCCTCCACCGGAAGACTGGCGTACCTCCTGTGCATGAGGGGCCTGTTATCGTCCAGGTAACAATAGCGGTCGCGCGACTCGTCCACCACCGCCGTCTCCGGCGGCTCCTGGAAGGCCGGGTTGCTCTGACCCGCGTAATACTGCAGCTGCAACGGCGGCGGCGGCGGCGGCAGATCATCGTTCCCCTGAAACTGCGGCGGCGGCGGTAGGCCGCCGTTGTTCGCGTGATCATCCGGTATGTACTCCGATTGACGGCAGAACGACGGGTTGGTATAGCAATGCACCGGCGTTGGTTCTGGTGCTTGGGCCATGATCGTTACTCGGAGGTACCAATCATCGAAGGACGAGCGTGCCCTCACGTTGGACGGACACGTGGGAAGAACGGCGGGCTCGTTGCGCCAGTTTCGCGACGAAGCATCGGTGAAGCTGAAGCGGCTTCCTCGAGGAGGGAAGGACTCGACCGAGCTGAATTGGCCGAATGAATCTGGTGATGGTGAGTATGAGGCTCGGTGTCGGTTATCGCGCGGGTAAATCAGAAGTTAAACGGTCGAGTCGCAGCCCGTTATTAAGTAAATGATGAGCGCGCCGGCTCGTGCACGCGCATTCAAGTTTGATGAACTCGCTGAATAATCGGCGAAAATGTCTCTCACTTTGTTCGTCTCGGGCGGAATCGTTGCGTCTTCCTTTTCGAATTCACGTGGTGGGGAGTAACGGATGTGTGTGTTCGTTCCGCCTCGGCGCGCCTCGTCGTTGAAAATTCTCCCGGACTTGTTCGATGCACCGGAGACAACTGGCGCAAATTTTCCGAAAACTCAAACGTCAGACCTTGAAATTGTCACGCGAGCGTGGAAGTAGTCTCACGGACCACCGACGATCACAGTTCTTCGCCAAGTTCTTCGGATACCAACACGTTGATAGAACCAGCGTCAGAATCAGCAGGACCTAAGATCGATCGGTGAGGATCATCGTCGCGGTGTTGCGACAGGAGCGCGATGATTGAGTCCCCGAAGCTCCAAGCTCGTAATTTGCGCCGATATCGAGACGCGTCGCTGGTCTGCGAATCTTCCCAGGCACCTTTCATGCGCGAAATTCGCGTGACGTTCACTCGATCGCTCGATTTCTTCCTCCGAAAAGTTGAAGAGGGTCGTGAATTTCAGCCGAACCGAGACGGCTCGCTCAGTTCCCGATGCGTTCGGTGTCTTCCGACCGACAATTTCAATAGCGAGACAAAGATTGTATTATATAACGATTAATGATCTCACGACGCGAGATACGCACGATAATGCAAAGGGATCCGTTTAAGATGCGCACTTTCGTTAGCCGCGCGATGCGTGCACGACCGTTGCTCTCGATAAACTGCCTCGCGAGTTCCCTTAACAGCAGATGCGTCAAGGGTGTTTCACCATGCGTTTCCTCGCGTATCTGTGTATGCGCACTCGGGGGGAGATGAAGGGAGGGTCGTCACGGGGTTTCACGTAATACGGGCCCGGTGTCCCTTCGTGGGGTGGGGGCCCTTCCTTGGCTATAGTGTATTATGCCCAGGATTTTCAACGTTGCTGTCGCGTCGCGCGTAATTTCAGGCACCGGTAATTTAAATTTTATACAGCCTGCTGTTAAGCGAACATGATTGTCGTTTTGGAGCGGACCTCGAGAGAAATCCACAACGTACTAAGATTTCCCGTCGAAACTCATTTATTCGCAACGTTCGACGAAGGCGCTCTCCGTTGTTCTTCGCTCTACGAGCGAATGGTCGAAACATTTTATTTAAACGGAGACTACTTCCCGTTTAATTTCGGATAGAAATCAAGTCAACGTTGTAAATCGAGTTTTTCCAAGGTTCTCGTCTACTGAACGTAATTTCGTCTTTTTAAATCACGATTTATAAATGTTGACTAATTACACGAATAAATCAAGATTTAAATAAATGAAACGGAAGTAACGGGCGGAACATAGTTCGCACGATACTTGGTGTGGTATTTGATTGTCCGGTGTTCGAGAGGAACGAGAGAACTCAGGGTGAGTGTACCATAGTCGATTTTCTGGGCAGCTGCCGCGACCGTTGAGACGCGTGCCCCGATAGCAACAGCTGCTCCAACATGAATGCAATTCAGCCGAAAACACACCGTTTATTTCTCTCTCTCTCTCTCTTTCTCTCTCTCTCTCTCTCTCTCTGTCTCCTCGTGCCGGAACACGGTCTTCGTGCTCTCGCACTCGCACGATGTGCACGCTAACGGCCGAAAAGTCACTCCACGTTGAAAGCAGTCGAAACGGCGCGCGGCTCGCGAACGGCCTAGGCGCGCCATTTTTTCGGGGCCTCAACCGGCGGACGCGTGAAAGTGCGAGGAAAAAGCGACGCGGGACAGAGAGAAACCGGACCCGCGGTCACCCGCGATCGGCATATTTTTACGCTCTAACTGTTAATCAAGTCGCGAAGCGCGCACTTGCACCCGCGCGGCTTCCGGTCTGCGGCTTCCCGCTTCTCGGACGCCTTTCTTCGGATAAATCTCGCGCGACGTCTCGGTAAAGATTTTCACGTTGCTTTTTGAGCTTCTTTCTCTTGGCTATTGAATCGGCAGTGAAGGGATAGAAAAAGAAAGAGAGAGAAAGAGAGAGAGAGAGAGAGGTGTCTTCTTTCTTTTCAGCCATCGATACATTACATCACGTGCCCGAGATGTATGCTGGATGATTTTAACCCATAAGCGGTAAGACGTTCGGCAGGTGCGATTCAGACGCAACAAGGGATTCATGATATTCGTGTCCCGTGTCTCTGCGTGACTCGTCTCTGCAAAGAAATGAATCGCTACATCTTCGCGTCATGCGATCGCGACCACTTCGACACGGTATCGGCGCAAAACTCGATACCGGATAATATAACGTTTACTTAGACCGGTACACACGCGAGAACAAGCAACGTCCACACGCGAGCGTGTGTCGTTACAAGTTACGCGCTCGTACGCCGATTTGTTTGAACGTGCAGTCGCGAGAACCGCGTATTATCTCATTGCGCGAAGTTGCGCGTGACGACGATCCGATTTCTCCGCGACGTGCCGATTCGGAATACGCGACGATCTTCCGCACGAGTGGGTTCTCAAGATTCGATCGATCTTACCGGAAGCGTGGAGTGCCCGGAGCGACGCTCGATACACCGGAGAGCGCGTCATAATTTACGCATGAGCGATTTATCATCGGCGGTGCGATTATACCGCAGCCTCGTGAAAGTTCCCTCCTCTTCCGTCCCATTCTTGCGCTCGTAATGCACGCGTTCGCGCTCTTTCTTCTTCGAGCTGCGAACTATACTTTCTCGATCGTCTTCCTAATTACAGAACGGCGCTAATAACGACGCTCGCCTTGGCGTTTCGAACGATCGTACCTGCTGTCCTTTCGCGTGCGTGACGCGATCGCGCGTCTTGTAAGAAATCCAGTGAAAGAGGACACGATAATGCGCCGTGGGTCAAGTAAATATTACTTGATCCAGGCAAAAATTTACTAAAGAACACCGGAGTGATTATTTACTTGAATCCGGCGCTTTCTTCTTCTGTGTAGAACTGTGGTGAAGTTCATCGCGATTTTTCGAATAGGAACAAAGCTACGGCAACAATTGATGCGAAATACTCGCGACTAAATTTAGGATGACGTCCACCTCGAATCGCATTGCTCGCACGAGTAATCGGGAGGGATTCATTTTTTATCTGCCTGTATCGAACATCCGAGAACTATTCTGCGCTGGTGTTAATGAGAAAAAAGAAAAGTCGGTGTAATAAAAAAAGGAAAAAAAAAACAGGTCGACGCAGGAATGAATTAACGTAACTTTTACCGATAACGCTAAATTAGCCATATTAACGAAAATTTCTCTGCTATTCTCGAAAGCTGCGGGCTCTTATGAGACGTCTCTTCAGCTTCATTTATCGTATATCGCCAACAAGCACAGTAATCGATCTCGCTTCGCGTTATAAGTGACCGTGATATCCAAAGCGACGTTTAGTAGGGAAAGATCTCTCACTTCGTTTCTTCATGCGTTGGACATTAAATGCGACATGCGTGACTAATGTAACGCCGATTGATAGCCTTGCTCGTTCCACACTTGATCAAGGTACGTCGTCGTACGTCCGAAAGACCACGGGAGACTTCTTCGAGTGTTGCCTTCGTCGACGGATGCCATCGTAACGCAATCTACGAATGACTCCTCAGCGGCAATCGAAGGAAAAGGTCACGCGTCGAGGGAACCCACGTGTTTCTGCGGCTAACAATAAAGGTTAGCTCAGTGCGCGATCCTCGACGAAGACCCTGGGATACATTTGCTCTCTGGGAGTTACCTTCGATTATAACGGGACTTTCATACCGAGGGGAAGGGTCGCGCTTTCGTGAGAGACAAGCAGGATCGACCGACCGCCAATCGCGAGAAATCAGATAGATCGGCGAGTATCAACTATGCGGACAATGTATATGCAAAATATACACAAATGGGTCGCAATAATTCATCTAGATTACGTTCGAGAACCGTCGCAAACTGTTAGCGTCTGCTGATGCAAAGAAAATTTAACGGTAAAGTTGTACGCGCTTTTATGCACTTTTCGAAAACAAAACGCAAACATTCCGGAAATTTCGCGCTTCGCATCAAGAGGGAAAAGAAGTTCTTTAAAGATTACGAAAATCGAAGTCACCTGGATATAAGAGCGCATAAATCGTAGATTTATTGTACATAATTTGTTCAATAATTTTTTTTCCATTTTCTATTACGTTTTATTATAAATTCTATTATAACTGCAAATTATGTCCTTCGCTTCAGAAAAGATTTCTCTTAAGGGTTTTGCAGTTAAACTTTCATTAGATAGGAGGTAGCTAAGTAGACGTAAATTGTTATTAAATACTACTAAGCGATAATGTCGACTATTTTATTAAATATAAACAAGATAATTTTGCATATAATTAAAAAATTCAAAATGATCATGCATTAAGGTACGCTAGAATGGTAAAACATGGGAAATCATTTTTCGCTTCGAGCTGTGAGCTGCTCCGCATCTCCAGGAATTGATTTTTGTTCATTTTTGCTCATGACAGATATTGCTTATGTGTGCGACAAAAAGAGGATGCAAAGTATAATCAACGCGAAGGAGGACGTAAGGCGATCTTGCTCTCATTGCCAAGATCATTTTACCGCGTGTGCGCAAATCGTCAATAGTGTGAACAGAGCTTAACACGCGTCCAAGGTACCTATATTCAACATTGGCTTTCTGTTGTCCCTTTCACTACAAGTTGGCTGCGTGGGAGGGCCGTACGAGATTTCGTAGCAACTTCAACGAGGACTAGTCTTCGTACTAGTTCAGTCGTCATTCAAGCGTTGTTCGCGAATGATCTCATGTTCGTTGGGTCGCGTGTCACGCGATTCGAAACACCGTCGAAATGCTGTGTCGCCGCGAATTTACCAACTCATCCCGAGTTTTCAAAATAGTCCGTACAATGTCATTCTTCAGCTCGCGCGTGTCCCCGGAAGACATGGTACTTACCGTCAGATCTTTTTTATTTATTATTTCAAGGGGAGTATAAATAAATTTATATAAATTTTAACGTGAGATTCAGCAATAAACGAATGTTGAATCGTGAGTTTCGCGTTTTTTTTTTCTTTTTTTTTTAACACTCGTTAGTGTCGGCGAATTTACTCGTCGCGGGATTTCATCTTTAATACATCGAACGTTGCGACCGGTGACCGGTATTGTGACACTATACGTATAAAGTATTGAAAAAAATTGTGATTAATATGTAAAAGTAAAACTTATCAATTGCAGTTGTAACATATTTATACTTCATAACAGTTAATTAATAAATTGTATTCTCGAAAAATCAGTTTTACGTTCGATAAAGAATCGATGAAACGAGGTAAAAGATATATACGTATCTTAAATAGCATTTATTTACCGTATCTTTTGTAATTCAATCGTCCGTTGAGATTTGATACAATGAATGGAAATCGATGCGGCAGTCAACGCGCTAAAGGATCACGCTTTGACGTAACTCTGGGATTACAAAGAAGCGAGCAGTTTACGGCTTTCAGACGGTCTCACACCGCCTTTAAATCACCGTGCATCTCTCGGCGCGCGCATTCACGATTCGCTGGAAATTTCACTGAAGATTCGCACGGTCGAACGCGCTGATATACGTATATATAACGTGAAAACGAACGCACGGGAAAACAAGGGCGCGCTGGCAACATAACCATGGCGTCTCGTAATCTTTAATTGCATCATTACGGCGCGAGAAAAAAAAAGGGGGAGAGATCGAGCGGCAACGACGTACTCTTGGTCACTGCCGTGTTGACCACTGAAAGAAGAATTGGTAACAATTACCAAGATTTGGTTAAATAGCTTCAACCGGACGTAACTCGTTCAGTTACTGCAACCAAATCCAACCTTAATACTACGCATTGTATATGGTACTGTAGTACAGTATATCTACTAAATGATTTAGTTGCAGTAACCAAATAATTCAGTTGAAACTAAGCAAATTTCGGTCATTGTTACCAAATCCTTCTTTCGGTGTGCAACTCGTTTTGCGCAAACGACGTTGTAAACATGATTCAATTTTCAAGTCTGACGTGATTTCGGGACTCCCCTTACCTACGACTTTGTCCCGTTTTTATTCCGTTCACGACACAAATGTCTGTTACAGCGTCGTGTGAACCGTTCCGCATTGGCGAGACTCGGCTGGATTCTGTCACGAGCGAGCGATTGTTAGCCGCGAATTGCGCAAGATGCCTATCTCGCGAAAAGCCGCGCGAGGAGCGGCGAAATCCTCGGGCGTACGCGGAGGCGGACGTAGATTTCAATTAAGTCGAACGAGAAGTGGTTACGATAATTGGTCGGTCGGTCGGCTGTGTTGCAGCGTGGAAGTCGACTCGGCTTCTTCTACTCTGCCATTAGACGTCGTCGAATTAGTGTCGTTTGAACATTCTCCGTGAACCCGCCTCGAACTCGATCGCGAGCTGCGCATCCGGTATAATCGAGCGTCGAATACACGGCGGTAAAATCATCGCGATCACACCTCACGGACTCTTTTCCCACGCTCGATCGTGGGCGCCTTTTCTCGACCGTCTGACTTCGCATCCGCGCTATTTTGCTTCCTGACCTACTAAACTGCCAGTCTACATTACGTTCGCAGTGTCTGTATATGTTATGCAAGACTGAATTATTAATTCGCGTGATTGAGATAAATACGGGATATGAAGGGGAGAGGAAATTGAGGCTGAAATATTCTTTTTCGTGAAAGTCATCATTTAAGAGTGTACTTAGTATTTGGTCAACTAAAAAGACAAAATACCGAAATTATGAGGAGTGATTTTTTAAAAATATTTTTCATCGATCTTGATTCGCTCTTGAATATGTTGCAGAGTAGTTTGTGCAGCCGTTTCTATAATCTCGTCAATGTTTTTCTAGCTTCCAGCCTGACTTCGTAATCCGGTGGTTGGCCGGTTCATTTAGTGCTTTTCAACTGGACGTAGCGGGGAAAAAGCTCTAGGAAAAACATCGACGAAAGGACTTCAGGCGGAATCAGCGCGACGCTGCGAAGTGCGAATTAACGATCCGTCTTCCCGACTGTGCGCTTTGTTAAACAACGACAAACTGACTCCGCTAACATCTCGAACCGATGTACGGAGCACGTCGTAATCGGCGATTTTATCGCCGCGAGAGAATATACCCTTGCTCGCGCGAGTGACAGTTTGCGAAAGGCGACAGCGATTTCGCGACGTGACCGTCGCGAGAAGGACAATGACGGAGAACGTGTACATCATCAAAGTGAAGACGAAACCGCCGTTGTCGTCCCTGTACCCGTCGGAGCGTCGCTACTCGGCGTCGACGGTAGGCGGCCTGTCCTTGGTTCACTTCGGCCTCGGCGCGTTGTCCCTCCTCTTGGGCACCCTCGCCTTGTCTCTGCAAGGCCCGATCTTGTCCGTTGCGTGTCTGGTGCCGTTCGTGACGGGCCTGCTCGCTTGGCGGCGTTGGTACATCGACCGGAACATCGCGATTTTCTTCTACGGCAGCCTATTCTCCCTCGTTGCGGCGATCCTCTGCCTCGTCGTCACGATCTTCGACGTCGCGGCCGCATCGACCGGCACCACCGGCAGGTCCCTGTGGCCGTTGGAGGAAATCTTCGACGCTCCGCGTTACTCCCCGCATCCTCTCGAGAAGCCCGCAAACGATACTCGTGCGAACGATATTGCATCGTTGTTTAAGGACAACCTGTTCAATACCACTGACGATCGTGGCTTCTTGAAAATCGACGGGAACGGCGCAACTTCTTCCGAGCTCGATGAATTTGATCTCCACGCCAGGAACGGCGGCTACAACGATCTCAAAGCGGGAGCGACCTTCACGTTGGTGGAAAAGGCTATCGTCTCCAAGGAAATCTTCCAGAACGAAGGCGCGGCAAATGTCACGCAAGGATCACCCGTGGGCTTGAAGAGAGAAGGGACTCTTTGGCGCAGTCAATACGAAAACTCGTCGCACGCCAAGGTGCTGCTGACGTTGAACGTCCTCGTGGCGTCTCTCCTGGAGGTCTTCTGGTCGCTACTCAGCGCGAAAATCGCTTTCCGCGGGATGATGAACCGCCTGCCGGAGAATAGCAACGCCGTCGCCGGCTCGAAGACGACGAGATCACAGTTGCAGAAGAGGAAACCCCCGGCGCCCAGACCGGACATCCTTGACCACGACCGTCGGCTGTCGGAGACTCTGCAGGGCTTCACCGGCTTGCAGTGCCTCGCCGGACCGCGACTACCCTTGCCGGAATCTAACAGGGAATTTCAAGAGAGGGTCGAGAGGTTCCTGGCTAATCAAGCGATGCATCGAACTGTCGAGGGCATTTGAAGGCTCCAAGGCGAGAGAAATGATTTTTCGACTATGGCCCAGGCTTGATGGTTAATTACCGAATCTTCTTTCAGTAAATACTTTCAACAAATAGGAGGGTAATACTCGATACCTTTTCTCTGTTTCTGGTGTCTCTTTTTCGATGGATGTTATAATTATGTGGTGATCCGAATCCTGTATACTCTGTACACTTTGCTGTTCGTTAATTATCTCATACTCCAAATATGAATGTACATATATCGCGTATTCGATTCGTGGAAGTATAAAGTTGTGTAATTTCCACGTATATGTTCTTTTTACACCGCGTTTACCGCGGCGACGTGAAGTGACGAACGGTCGGTTTGCACATCGCCACAGCGTGTACTTAACGCGAGTGCGTCGAATAACGCAAAGTCGAAATGGCAAACATTGGAACGTCGGGCAATAAACAGCGCTAATTGTATTCAACACAGTCATCCGTGTTGTCGGACGTGTTTTCGCGACTCTGGTTAATTAACATACCAATTAGCGCCACGGGCGGGTAAAAATAATCGAACAGATGCGTTACCGTGCGTTACGGTGCGCCGTCAGATAAGATTACGATACGTTACCGAACATTAAGCGTCTCACAATAGTTTTAACATTTACTAGGCCTATTGACCATTTTTCGCGCGCAATGAATCGACGTATTCGTATATCACGACTGCTGATTACTCTGTGAATCGCCGAGGATTCTTCGAAGCAACAATCATAATGCACGAATATGTCGATTCATTCACGTGTGATCAAAATATTCTATCATCACCGGGCGTAAATGTTCAAGCTATTATGGCGCTTACAGTGTGCACTCTTGCATAAAAAACAATACAGGGTGGTCTGTGGGAAGTTCGGGTGAACGATGGTGGCAAACGTCACAGAACGAGTAATGCGGGTGAAAATTGCGCATCGAAGGCGCGCGCGCAAATATTTGAAAGAAACGAAAAATACACTGAGAGATGATGAGTTATTATTTCTCTCACGATCGTTCGCGCCGCCGATTACACGTAATGCCGCGGTGCGCGCAATAGGATTTCGAGTATGATTATCACACGTCGAATAACTCGCGCGATGACGCAAACTAGCATTATGACGCAAACAGGATGGCGAGGCCTCGATTTTAAGAAAAGCCGCCGCCACCGCCGCCTTGCTGTCTCGCGGTCATCGCGCCTGGCCGTTCTTCGCAAAATCATCCTTTATTTTCAATCATTGCCAAATACATTTCCATTCGCCGGCGCGCCGGACTTACCATAACTCGCGGCTCGTCCTTAAGGTACACTTTATTCACTTAGACGACATTAAGCTACCGCCCTAAATTGACTCTTTGTCGCTTCCGGAGGATTATAAAATATGCCTTTCATCTATGTACGTGTTACGTTCTCGAGCGGCCGATAACGGAAAAAATAGACAACTGACGAGTATTCTAACCGTCACTATATGTAGATTCGATCGATCTCTTTTTCTCCATCTCTCTCCTCTCTCTCTCTCTCTCCCTCTCCTTCTCTCTATATTGTCCTTGGTCCACCTGGATTGTGATTTCGAAAGCGAGTGATCTCTCCGCGCACAACGTAACGGCGCTGCGTCCGAGAAAGAAGCGATCCGTCAGCGAGCACCGATTACGATAACGCGCAATTATCAAACGAGAGGTTCGCGTAATTTTGTCCTTTCTTTTCGAACGAGCGAACGCAAGTATGAGACGGAATTTGCGCAAATGTGAGCGATTCTTCGCGAAATAAATTAACCTTCCGGCGCGATGCGAATGATTTTCGTACCGATTTTGACGTGAGATTCGCGAGCGGATCTCATTCGAACGAACACGAACATATCGTTTGATCATTGATACCTCGGGGACGATTAGCGGCTATTCGGGAATTACGACTAAACATCTATTCGGCAAGAATAAAGCACGCGCTTTTGTACATGTTCGTTTCTGTCGCATATCCGTGAACAACGAGGATACCGACGTGGAACAATCGTCGTCGTCGTCGATCGACCGGCGATTTTAACGAGCAACGGATACGCGTAAAATTCGAACGGGCGAGTAAATGGAATAAAAACACTAATCGCTTATCACTACCGCGGAGTCAAATGTAACAAACGCTAAATGGCAAGTATCGGATAAAGTGGACACGTCTCTGATAGAACAATCCGCCCCATTGTTCATTCGCGGATACATCACCAACAAACAATTCAACTATGAAACTAATACTCTCTCTTTCTATCACCCCACCCTGTGGGAGTGACTCCTTTTCTCTCTCTATCTCTCTTCTTCTCATTCTCTCTCATTCACTCTCTCATCACATATTACCTCTCGAGGCTACACTTGACACACCCTATTAAGGTTGTTTCTCACTATCCGTCTAGACGGTGGCAAACAAACATCCATCAATCCGTGGTAAAACATGCTTTAACGTTTTCGTATCAGAATAACGGCCCGGATGACGCCGGAGAACGACAATATTGACGGCAATATGACGTCTATTCCGTCAATATGCCGTCAATGCGCTGTCCTCCGGCGTCATTTGGCTCTATCTGGCAGGATACTGTGAAAATTCCAGTAAAAGCATTGAAGAATGTTTTGACGGTAGTTTGACGGACTGTCACCGCTCAGACAATGAGAATCAACTCTTATTCGTTATTACGAGCAACACGCACGACATCGCACAGTTTTATTAGCAAAAATACACGGGACTCGCCGAAAATATTTCGTCCTATTCGCCGATCCGCGTTTTTGCCCGACAGCCGATCGCGCTTTAACGCAAGCGATCTGAGGTGTGACCGCTTAATTGCAACCAGCAGGTGCGCGCGTCTTACAAGATTAAGTGCAATGAGTTCCCTCGTACCTGGATTATCTACCGGTCGTCGCGTGTCATTCGAGACTGCGCCGGGGCTTTTATCGCGAGTCGTCGTGTTCGATCGTGTTCTACTTGCGCTTTGCGTCTACTCTCCAGTTAAATGTACATATATCACACACACTCATACACACACATAGATTATGTTGAACCGACAAGTTTCCGTAAGAGAAGAACCGACGGTTCGCAGTTCGTTTCCCTTTGGTCGAGATTCCATTGAGCGCCACGGCTGGAAATCGCGTTTGACGTAACCGGGCATTTGATATCGCCACGGGTTATCGGAATCCGAATGTGTCGTGCCAATAAAAAAAATCTGAAACCATTGTAACTTTATAGCATTTTTCCCGTAGAATCTGAAAAAAATATTTATAAAATTTTAGGGGGTAGTTTTCACCCTTATTTTGAGATTTTTAAGTTTAAAGTCGAAATTTCGCAAAGTACGCCACCTTCGATTTTTTTTTGTTTTTTTTATTTTATTCCTTTTTAAATTTGCTTTCGATTAAGTCATGTCTCATGATGGTAATCGACTTGGAACAGGCCTAACCGTCTTGAGGGTTGAGATATAACGGTAAAAAAGTGGATTTTTGCCTTTGGGCCTTATGTTGGGCCTGTTTCAGGTCGATTATCCAAGGTGGAGGTTGCACGGTCGGATTTACACCTCTTTGTGTGTTGTGTGTTTGTGTGTGTGTGTGTGTGTCAACAGAGATAAGGACCCCACGGTTCGTCACTCCCGTAGTATTTATCGACTCCAAACCCTCTCTGCTGTACGCGCGTGTGTGTGTGTGTGTGTGTGTATGTGTGGCTGATGTTATTAGGCCTGGTGTTCGAAATGTCCACCGTTTGCTTCNGTGTGGCTGATGTTATTAGGCCTGGTGTTCGAAATGTCCACCGTTTGCTTCAATGCAAGCAAGTACTCTTTTCTCAAAATTATTTGTTGCATGAAGAATTTCATCAACATGTAGAGAACGAATAGCGAGACGTATTCTACGAATCATATCATCCTAATATCATCCACATCACCTAAAATAAGCATCATATCACAAGCTTCCACGTTTGAATACGACATGGCTGGTAAATGAGAATTTTGTTACACCTTACG